TTATCTAGTACATGTTACACCCGGGTATTATTTATTTTTATTTTTTAAAAATAGAAAGTACTACAGTTAAGCTCTGAATTTTGAAGAATTGACATTCAAACAAAAATAAAAATTGAAAAAATCCCTCTGAATTTGACGAAATATGAACTTCGAAAACACGGAATCCTAGATATAATATATATAATGACTACTGTACAAAGGTTCTGCTGCGTAATAGGAATAGGAATATACTAAAGGAAAGTTATGGTAAGCTTGTAAAGGCAGTATGATCATTGAAGGTATTACTGATATGGTAAAAATGCTGTTGTAAATCTTTTTTAATCTGAAAGCATTAACTGATCCCATGGAGTGAGCCGACGTCATCAGTCTGAAGCGTGAAAACGGCACCTTAAATCCTTTTTCCAAGTGAAGCCAGCTCTGAGCTATGAAATCACGTGAAAAGCCTAGACAACAGCACCTAGTTTCCCCGATTCCAAAGGAGTGGAGTAAAGCTGATGGATTTTCGACTTCGGTCCCATTGGCTGGCGCACGTCGACGAGGCTCCCACTGGCCATTTCGCCTTAGTTTCAACAACACCTTACCCCATGGCGCTGTGTGCTGTCAGTGCACTGTTAACATGGAGCGCCCAAGGTCAGCGGGCCCAAGGGAGCACACGCGCTGACCGGGGACAAAAAGTATGCGGCAGACGAAACAAGGAAGCGGACGAGTGGCTTGCATGCTTTCGCATTCACAACTCATAAGAAATACTTAGGTCAGGTGTACCTCAAGCCTTTCTTTTTTTATATTACTACAATTTTGGTTTTATAAAAATATTATTATTAAAGCTTGACTTACACTTTGAGTCCATTCATTCTGTTTTGTGTCCAACAAAGTAATTGACTGAAACAAAGTTCCAAGCTCTTCCTGAATCGTCAAAGTCAACTTGCCAGAAATAAACAAGTGGAGGTTAACCAACTTACATAAGGACAAGTAAGTGGAGGTTAACTAGCTTATATAATGAAAAACTTGAGACTGGAAACAAATAAAAAATGAACAACCACACACACTGTCTCAAACGGCTTTGAGACGGTGTGTGTGGTTGTTTGTTGTTTTATTTGTTCCCAATCTCTGTCTTATTATTATGGAGGTCAGGCATTCAGGAAGATCCCAGAACTGGTGATTACAATATCCGAAGAACTGTTTTAGATGTTTGCCTCTCTGTAAGATGATGCTTATTGTCTTGTTCACCTTTAAAATTTCAGGCAGACCAACAAAGAAGCCCAAAACTGGCTGATTCCTTTGACTCCTGGTTCGGATATCACCGCCAATTTGTTGCAGGTATGCCTAACGCATTTCTCTTCTATCTTTTCTCCTACACTTATAAGTAGGGTTCTTCGTTTTTGGGTTTTATTTTCGGCAACGACTATTTTAACGTCCTTAAGTTTTATCTTGTTCCGATCAGGGTGTCTAGCAAATTATTATTTTGAAATTCCCTGATTTTTCCAGCTTTTCCCTGACAATTTCTTGTGAAATTCCCTAGCCACTGTGAATGTGGTTATATATAAGACCATTAAAACACAAAACACTGAGCATTGAGCACTGTGAGGATTATTTTGCACAGCCTTAATCCAACCTGCATATTCCGAAATATTCGGGTTTGTTCAGTCTGAATTAAACGAGCACTTTCTTGCCGCCGACATCGTCAATGAAGAGGCCGCTTCCGGAAACACAATGAAAACACGACGCTCAACCACACAGGTCAATAACCAAATGGCAGCATGGCCACCAGATGCATACTTTCGGATACTTTCGACTTAATTAGAGGGGCCCTGCGATGACTTTTTTACTAATTTTTAATTTGCACCGAATTTGAGTGCACTGAACGTAGTACCTTAATAAAACTTTTTTTTTTCTTGAATTTCGCTTTATTTTAAAAGTTATAGGCAAATCAAAATTACAAAAACAAGCAAAAAATAACCTCCTTCATGGTATCCTTGGTTGCTTGAGTGGCCGTGAACTAGAGGAGGGCTAGTGAGCTTAGCAAGCGCTTACGGCTGCCGCACTTCGTGTCAACAACTCGAGAGGGCGCCACTAAAGCATCTTCTGGCTAGGCTGTAGGAAGCGGGCAGCCAGGGCGGCTCACATTTCATTTGCTGCGCGATTAAACACTAATTCAACATGACACTTCATTGGCCACAAACGACAGCAAACACGGGTAAAGATCAGTTCAGAGTGAGGGTCACTTCGCGCTGCCAATCTGCGAAACGGCCAAACTGCCAGACAAAACTGCTCGCCGAAGGCCTTCAGGACGCTCAAAGGCGGTCGGATCCTCCAGTCCCTACAACCGCAGCGCCGCCGCGTACATCCGGGACCTTTCCGTGTCGGCGCCTGATCCCACTACCCCTTTCTAGTATGCGCCACCATCTCCACCGCTCGGTGGCAGGTATGTTGACGGGTCATTTCTTGTTTCCGTACTTTATAAACTGCATTTGTTTCTTTTCTGATCTAAAATACTGAACAAAAACTACTTTTATAAATAATTTAAACGGTTTGCGCCACTTATATTTTGTATTTCGACTAAAAAGAAGGTTTTAGCAGCTCTGACCTGTAGTAAGCCCAGGGCCAAAGGCATCACATATCGCATGCTTTCGGTACCGCGGGTCGCCCCCGTCGGTGGAGGAGGTTTCCGCGTCGTCCAGTTAAAATATGACGCACTGATCTAGTTACTCTCTCCGTACCCGCTGGCTTGTCCGAACCCCAAGAGACATGGAAACCGTAAAAAAGGTGGACGCTTAAGTATGATTGCAGGGCTCCTTTAAGGCTTGTATTAAGGTTTGCGGCTTTCCCATTTGTTACTAAATCTAGTTGCTCTAGCTGGATCTAGTCTAATGTCACGCACTCAATCCAGTTCAATCCAAGGCAATGCAAGGCTTGGACTGGATTTGTCGCCTGCTCCCTTTGCATCGGGTAGCATACTCTACATCGGGTGAGTAGAGTCTGCGCTCCGCTCTAAGCAGAATTTATTGCCTATTATTCTGCCCCCAAGTCCTCAAGTCTTTGCTCAGGGCACTCAATGACGTTTCCGCTCATTTTCCCTGACTAGGCTGGCTTTTTGACAATATCCCTGACAATTCCCTGATTTTTCCCGGTAATTAATATTTCCCTTCCAGTTTTCCCGGTCACTAGACAGTGTCCGATGTTTGTGTCCCCATTGTCCTCCATTCATCCTTGTATAGGGTTGCTCTTCCTCTTTTGTGCCTTTTAGGTTAGGGGTTCAAACCTCCCAAAGTCTTCAACAGGTTTCGCCCATTTTTCTGTTGGAGCCATCCAGCTTAACCTCGATTTTCTTTTGTGTGTCTTCCCATTTAGAGTTGTAGTCTGAAACAATTTAAGGTAAAAAAAATATATATTTTCTAATAGAAATATACGTTGAAATGACAAAAAATATTCCCCCATTCAGAAAATGACGTCACAGACATGAAAATAAAAGGAAAACCCAGAAACGAAGAACCCTACTTATAAGGCACAATAAAGCCTCCCCAATAGAAGCGCTTTGTAACTCGAATAATACTTGAAGGTGCTCAGAGAAGAGACATACTAGTTATTACATGTCCTATGATGAACGCTTTCTGAAGTCTTACTGTCCAAATATGCACATATAGTATTCAAGCTGAGGCTTTACTATATTGTAAATGACTGAAAATCTCATTTTTGAGGTCAAAGGATTCAAAGCGGCGCTTCTGCTTTGACCACCGTGGTCGAAGCAGACGCGCCAAGTGCAAAGCAGGTGTGTCCAAATGCCATGGCAATAAAAAACTTTTTTTTGCTTGGTTAATGGAGATGTACTCGGACGTGCACCAATAAGGCTTTATCTGGTTGATCACGTTGTTCGCCATGCTGTGTGTCCTCACTCAATGAGCCGTGGCATGCCTGCCTTGCAGAAGAGCAGTATGATGGTATTGCGTGCAAATGGAAGACTATTTCTTTCTTGAGGTAGGCTTGTGGGCATGAATATTTAAAAATGTTGTAGCTTTGTTTTTGTATGCCGTATGTTGCAATTAGTGAAACGGGGGCACTTCGATTCACCAGTGTGCTTAGGGGGTCGAGAGTTGCAATTTGTTTTGAGGAAATGTAGGTACAGCATGGATGAGAAATATATGTCGTTGTTTGCATGTTTGTTTGTTGCCTCTACCTTTGTTGTTTGCACCCTATGGCCTGCTCATGTCGTGAAGTTTTTACAAATGAAGACGCCGAAGGTCTACTCTACTCAGAAATTACGGATTTTAGCATAGTGTACCCTTAGTCCTTTGATTTATGACTACTACATATTATTCTTTTTTACTGTTAGAGCCCGCATCAATAGTCATTTCGGTATTCACATGCAACCTGCGTCCACAACTTTACTTCCACAGAGTTTATCCACAATCGTGCGTTGCAGGACACCAATAACATGATATCGGTGCTGCAGTCTTGAAAGTAACAACATCGTGTCTGGCATGCTATAAAGTACCGTAATAAAAATTGCAGTGGCTTAGCTCGGCTATGCCAGGATATACGTAGCGTAAGCTTAGGTTCAGCTGGTTATTCTTAGCTTTCCTGGTTGTCTAGGATTAGCTTGATTATCATACTTACTGCTGCTTCAGTGACACACACACAGTGTACGCATTATGCACTACCTCAAGATCCGATGAGTAGAGCTTCTCCGCTCTTCTTTATTGCAGAGGAGGCGCCGTGTAACCGAGTTTTCGGTTGCATGTCAAAAGATCCGCAGGTGGTCCAAATTAATTCTCAGTCCTTTGCTGGGGCGTGCCAGATGCCCGTCGTTGGTTAGTCCAGCTGTGCGCCGTGTTGTTATTTATCAAGCAACCAAGCTGCCGCCCAGAACAACCGGACAACGCGAGCCACAATCTCGAGCAGGTGCATGCGCACAGTGTGTGCATCGGGGACTGGCCCAGGCGCCATACCAGTCCTGCCCGTTCCGTCACTGCTCCTCGCGCATGCGCAGCACGGCTCTCCAGGAGCCATGCGAAACTGCTCAACCTCGGCCGGCGTAGCTTACGCTACAAAATATTCTTTATTGACCAACTCTTACATTCAGGTCTGGAAAATTGCGGACATCACTCGCATCGACTCGCCCTTCCTCTTTCACAGGTCACAGTGTTACGGTATATCTAGTAACGGAGTTCCAAGAGTGCCCCATCATCCGCGGGCATTCTTCGGCGCGACCTCGAGGCCGACCTCAGGTGCTTTCTTCGCCCTGTTTCAGCTTGGCAAACATCTGTCCCAGCATCTGGTTGCAGAGTGCGGCGTACGGGTTCATCTGCACCACCTGCGCCTTGGCGAACTGGCTGCCAAGCTTGGCCGCCCGCTTGAAGTCGACGAGGGCCTCCTCATCACGCTTCTGCAGCCGGTAGATGAGCCCCCTCTGGCAGAGAGCCTGACAGGCGGCGTGACCCTTGCCCTCGCTGAGGTTGATGGCATTGTTGAGGTCCTCGAGCGCGTCTGCAATTGGGACGTGGTTCCGTCACAGTTGTCGTAGCCCTTCACCATGGCAAATGGTGGGCGGATATTTGTGCACTACAAGGCTTAATTTAGGGTGGTCATAGTAGACCCTTTTCAAAACCCCATTGAGCAACACTGGCAGTCGTCATTTCTTGGGCACAACGCGCGAGACTGGATCCGCTTAGTTTATGCCAAACGCTGATGCAGCCCTCGTAACGGCGTACTCAGATAATCTACCAAAATAAAGCTAGATCAAGATTTTCTTCCCGCTAAGGTTGGGTTTTTCTTATTCAACGAGCGATTTTGATAAAACCGAATCGGGGGTTAATTTTTGTGGTTTATAGGGATTTACCGAAAACATTAAACCATAGTTTTAGGTCGTGCGAAGTGGGCACAAAGTTAAATTAAGATTCCGTTATCCTCCGCTTTGATGCAGGAGATATTGCAATCATGTCTTGAATTGCAACACTTTGTGTCGCTGAGAAGGAAAGACCTTTCTCTGCTATTTATATGTGCGTTCAAACAAGGACTCAACATGCAATGATGTGTACAGCAAGTGTTCCCTCTCTGTTCCCTAATATTAAACAGTGCACAAAAAGTCGGCGGAAGAGAAAGGGACAGTGGAACGAAAGAGCGCTGACTACCAATTGATTTATTTAGAAAGAAGTGAAAAGAAGGAAAAATAAGCCACGAAAATTGAACCCCACGGGAAGTGAAGACAAGATAAAAGAAACAAAGAAAACGAAGTCTCTTCCGCCGACTTTTTGTGCGCTGTTTAATATTAGTGATGTACCAACTAGCTCAAATTACCACTTTACTAGTACATCTCTGTTCCCTCTTTTTTCTTTTTTTTTTTTTTTTTAGTTTTGGGGCTTTCTTTCTGGGGCTACTCTGGATCCACCCCTGGTTTTGTCAGGACACTTTTTGTTAAAACACATGTTTCATAACTTTCGTTTCATGGACAACTTTTCATCAACACATGCTTCATGAGAGCTCATTTTGTGAACATATGTTTTTGTGACGTTCCGTCGACAACATACTTTTTCTCCAACTCTATCTTTCTCAGATAGAGTTGGATTACAGGCCTTAATTAATTTGTTGGATGTATACCGGAACAATAGCGGACCTCCTAAGCTATTTCAATACAGCAAAAACAAATCGGCGATCCCTAGCCCTAGGCTTCCAAACAGACATGCTTCACTCTGTTCCGCTTGGAGAAAATGCATTATAATCCAAGGCTCAAGATTGCACCAACCCTCGTTGGGATGCCAGCGGCCGTGGCAATGTGCACAACAAAGAGCTGTCCATGACATGTCGCAAGATGTGCCGATGAATTGAACAGGCGCACATTTTGATGAAACCTCTTCTTTGGAGCTGCTGCATAATTTTCTCTGAAATGCCACCACACGTATGATCCAACCGTGAAATGCCTGCCTCCGCACCCACTAGATTATTGTACTAATACGCAATTCCCACCCTACTTCGCAGCCCCCGTTCCTACACGGCGGGGGGAGTGCTAACTCGCCGCTGACCCCCCACTCTGCACGGCGCCGTGCCATAGGTCAAGCACTCTACGACGTCAACCCAACAACTGCGCTCCTTTGTTAACACTCTCCCGTTGCCTTCCTACAGTGCAACCAATACCAAAATGAGCAAGTGGGTTCATTTAGGTGTTCTCATATAAAGCTGCTGCCTTAAAACTAAAGAGCAAAAACTGGCGATCACTTATTTGTGCTACCTGTGTCACGCTTTACACATCGCCTCGCCCATCTTTTAGTGTCCCTTCACAGTCTCAAGTTTCGCTTACGCTCAACGTCTCCTTTGATCCGAAGAGCCTGGGCACGGTTGTTGTATCCTGAGGCTCTCCGGGGGCACAGCTGGATCGCCTTGCTGAATATCTCGATGGCTTCGTCGATTTTTTGCATCTCCGCAGCACGCACCCCTTCCACCTCAAGTTCCTTCACTTCGGCCGGTGTGTCCGTGTCCGACTCTGTCGGCAGGGAAAGGAAGCAAGACAGGGGAAGTGAAGACAGACGTTTTGTGTAGTGTGCATCAAGGTACACTAAAAGCAACCTTGAAACCCGCATCCGTGATGGCGTGTTTTGACCAGATAGTTTTGGCCGCAAGACAACGTTGGCCGGCCGGAACGGGCCAACGTTGTCGGAAAGAGAATCACACTATAGTAGGTTACAAGTCAAGAAGGTAGCGGCAAATGCCCCTCTAAGGGAATCATATATCCCTCCGCCACCTCCGCATCCAATAGCTCCCCATCGTTTCCGTGACATTGCGGCCAACGCGCGAGGAGGGTCTTGCCTCTCTGTACATATTTGCTTTATCTTTCGACTTTTACTTAGCATTGTGGAAGCCACGAGAGGGAGATTAGAGTTTTACTCCTCCGATGGAAACAAATACAACTTTCGGGGATTAGGTTCCTTCTCCGATGGATGCAAAGGCTGCTTTCAGGGGCTCGGTTCCCCCTTTGATGAATACAAAGGTCGCTTTCTTAAAAAGTGGGATGGGAGACAAGTTGGCCTCACTCTGTAGCCAATATATATTTATTGAAGCCGAACAAGGAGCGTTTCCAGTGGACTCTGCTTTCGACTGCGGAGGAATTTGAAACGCATCACGCTTGTGGGGGGAGATTCTCCTACCTTCTTAACTTGTTACCGACTATAGGCAGTTGTTGAGACCAACCAAAAACAAGTCCCCTTTCTCTGGCTGCATGGTCTTTTTGGCAAACAAGCCTCTGGTTTGCAACTCAAGGTTTTAACTTGCTAGGGTGCTAAGGGATTGTCGTCTGCAGTTGATGCCCCATCAAAAGCTTGGCCAGCCTTTTCCTTAGGGGTACCAGGGTTTCCCTGTAAATTAACAAAGTGAGGTGAAGGTCACTGAACTTCTTAATTAGACTCTTTACAGTTTTAACCATCCTCTCTTCTTCCCCATTAGACCGTGGATACCTGGGGCTTGACGTGACACACTGGAACCTGTAGTCTCGCGAAAAACACTGAAAATCCGCAGATGCAAATTGCATTCCACTGTCCGAAAGCACCAGCTCGGGAATGCCATGCCGCGCAAAAATACTTTTCAGTTTGCATTTCGTTTGTGAAACAACACTTTTGAGAACCAGACATACCAAAAAAAACTCCACATCTGTTTGCCTGTATCGCAACAGCAAAGTGATTGTGACACTGCTTTTATGTTACTTTTCAAGCCGAACATTGGTAGGAAATATTGATTTTGGATTGGTGATCAGTTAAAAATCAACATTTCTTAACTGAACAATGGGTTCAAAATATTCATCTTGAACCGATTGTTGATAAGCGGCCCAGCAGCAAGACATGCAAAGAACTTGGCATGTTTGTGAAACCAAAACACTCTGTGCTCAAAATTGACTTTTTTTTCTCCTCCATTCTGCATTGGCATTATATATTTCTCACTTATGGATGCCAGCAGTTGCAATATTCACTGGTTCACTCGTTATAGCTCTAACTACAACATGCCCTTCCCTGACATGCTAAAGTTTGCAATGCTTTGAAGCAATTGAATGAAACAGAACTTTGTTGGTAGTTCTTTGTATATTGGCTACATATGTTTAAATGAAAACAAAACCCAAAATTTAATTTAGTCTAATGTTTATTAATGTCAATGCAGAAAAGCATCTATCTGACATCCATTCATGACAAGTCTGTCAATGTATTTTTATTACTTGGTATATGAATAAAATATTTTTATGAAATGTACTTGTGATGCCATTCATTTTGTGCTATCACTTTTTACTTATTGAAAAAGCCCCTCCTTTCCTTAAAACTAAATCAATTATCAGAGTCAGTCATATATGTTAGCATACGAAATGTACAGAACACTAAATGACAGTCCACTCCTGTCAATGAGACCACCACTGTTTTTATCAAAAGAGGTCATACTGATGTTAAGATTAGGATTCTGTGTTTCGGAGTTTGTAGCGTGAAATTCGGAGGACGTTTTTTTGTTTGTTTGTTTGTTGTTTTTTTTTTTCGCTGAAAATTTGGGGCCAATTCTTTGAAATCCTGAGTTTAGTTTACTGCATTCTTTTAAAAATTCAAAAACAAAATAAATTAAGTTTGGGTACCATGAACCATTGTCCTGAAAGGACCTCAACGAGATAAATTAAAAGGCAAACCCCTTTTGTCACTACTATATTTCAAAGGAAACTGAGGTGGCATCTCACGACCACTGACCCTGGGTTATTTGTAAAACACCATCTTTTTTGCTGTTTATTTTGTCGTGACTTCGGAATTCTGAGTTTTTTAGATAAATCCGAGTTGACGAAAAGTTTACTGGATTTATCTGAAAGAACGGAACTTGGAATATGAGGAACACCGAGTGGAGAGCGTGAATGCGCACAACTTTATAAACGAGTAAGAAACTGGCCTATAAAGCGCTGATGAACGCCGAATCGTGTTGAAGGAATCCATCACTTTCCAAGTCAACAGTTAATTACACACCAAATATACACTGTGCACCAACAAGAACCTCTCCATTTATTTGTGGTTTTGATGTTTTCACCATCTGCCAAAATGTAAAGAAAATTTTCTAAAAAAAACGTTCTACAAATTTTTTTTTTTAGAAAAAAGTGGGAAGCGGTGCTTGAACACACACACACATACATAGTAAAGGAAGCCCCAATTTTTCGCCAGCTCCCTTTCCCTAACTGATGTAATTAACTTAATAATCACACACTTCCCTACTAGCTATATATATATAGCAGATGTAGTGGCATTTACAATGTACAGGGTTTCACAAAAGAAAATTTACACAGTCTTTTTTTCCGCAAAAATAAACTAGGCATCGCTGAACGCTCATTCTCCGCCCGAAGGTAGAGCTAGAGATCACAACCAGATGCCAAAGTTTCAGCCCGATCCGATAACTTAATCAAAAGTTATGAGTGATTTTCTGAAAATTTCAATGGAAAAATGGCGGCCGACGGAGTTTTCAAACACATGGGGCTCTATGGCACCAGAAACCGAAAACGGGCAAAAATGGGCTACATTTTCCCATTGAAATTTTCATAGAATCACTTATGGGTCCATATCACAAGAGCGAATGACATTTTAGCGAACGGCGACATTTGAGCGAATGGTCGTTTTAGCGAATAACGGCCGGGCGCGCGTTAACCCATCCGTCGCGCTGCGCTTTACGCCGCTTCGCGGCGACAGTCTGCGGCAACTCATTACAAAAATATGAACTCACTTGGCCCACCCGAAAACGCCGCTTCGCGGCGTCCGACTGTTCGCTAAAGTGTCATTCGATGAAACGTGGGCGTTCGCTAAAACGTCATTCGATCAAGTGAGTGCCTCCCGCTGCAAAGCATTGCCACAGAACGCCAGAGAAACCAAAATTAATATTGGACCAGCTTCGTCTCTAATTTCTTTCCGTGACCTTGAATCCCGTGCGCATTTGCGCGCAGCCCACTAGCGTGGCATCAATCCGCTTCGACCATGCCAAAGCTGACCTGATATTTCTGCGGAATCCTCGTCGTCGCAAGAGAATCCCAGTTCTGAAAACAGGGGGTTGAAGACCGCCTCCAAAACAGCCTTGTCGTTGGCCGTCGCCATGACTCCTGCTCGTGTGCCGAGTCGCGGAGACTTGCGCGCACGCTTGCCACAGACCAGTTTGACCGCTGCTTTCTCGTCGCCTTCGACGCCCTCGGGGTACTTTTATCACAACGCAAATCTCTGCAAGATGACACTCCGCGGCCTCTCAGCCTATCTCCTCATGAGTAACGCATCAACAGAGGTCTTTTGCAAAATGAGCACAAAACGAAGCGTACACGTCGAAGGAAAAATACAGCTGTTCGCTTTGTACTGTAGTCACCGTATCAACTACGCATTTACCAGCCGACGGGCCCACAATCTGACGAAGGCTTATTGCTTACGTGTGTCCGCGACCGTAATGAATCTTCAGTCATTTGCTTTGACGTGCCAGATGCCATTCGTTGGTTGCTACGCAAAACCGGCGTAAAATACAACGCAAAAAAAAAAAAAAAAAGAATGCAGGATTACCACGGTTTATTTGTTGTGCGTGATTGGTTTGGCCGGCGACAGCTAACGCGCAAAGATGACGCGTGACTGCATTTTTGTGCTATGCTTGATTGGCTACGTGTGAATGCGGACGCCACATTCTGTACAACAAAAATTTATTCCATTTATTCAAACACCTCATGACGGGTTTTTTTGGTGAACCGACCATGACTGGCACCATAACATTTTTTCCTAGAATCTACGTGTCTTGCAAGTTATTATCGCGGACCACATACACTATTTGGAGACAAAGCGCTTGTCCACTTCGGGCGGGATGTACTCCTCCTGGACGTTTTCCTTGGCGGCCAGTTCGTCCATATCCGCCTGCACCTCGGCCATCTTCATCTCGATCTGGTCCCAGTTCTCGAAGGCGTAGAGCAACTCTTCTTTTTCGCCCAGTTCCTTCTTGCGCGCACGGATCTCCTCGATCGTCTGCTGCCGGAGGAACAGCGTCGTCTGCTCTTCGAGCGCTCGCTGCCGCTGCTCCCGCCAGCTCACGAAATTGCGTTTCTGGGCTTCGATATCGGCCGCTTCCAATTCGGGAATCTTTTCTAGAGTCTTCGAGGCGAGTTCGTGCAGGTCAGCGGTCGAAAACCGTGACTCTAACGTCTTCAGTGCCGTCTCAAGCCTCTTTCGAGTGTCGTCGTCCTCAGCGAGCCCACCTTCCCGCGTCAGCTCGGCAAGGAACATGTCGACTGCACCACGGGTCACGAACTCTTCTCCACCACCTTTGGCCGACGCCGCTTCTAGGAACTCGGCGGCTTTCTGCCACTTTTGATAGAGTCCCAGTCCGACGAGGTAATAGCTCCTATGCAGAAGATCTCCCCCTCTGCCGCAGAACAGCGCGAGCGTCTTGCCGATCAAGTGATTCGGCTCGTTCAAGTCGAAGTGGTCGTCAAAGAACGGGTTGGTTATGTTGGGTACGCGCACGTATATCTCTTCGTCGTCGTCGTCCTCCTCCTCGACGGCGGGTGGGTTCGGTTCCCACGGTTCGGGTTTGGGCTCCCGCAGATACATGTGGCAAGCGTAGACACCCAGAATCTGACTCACGGCGTTGCCGGTGTCTTCCTGAAGCATCATCTCGATGGCGACTTTGGCGGCGTCACGATGGTTTCCCTTTTCTAGGAAGGTATCCATGAGCAAGTTGCTACTGTAGTAGTCCGGGAACACTCCGTAGTCCAGCCGGTTTTGGAGGATTTTCATGAGTACGTCGTGCTGCTCAGATTCCAAAAAGAAGCGCACCGCAGCCGCCGGCGTCGACGGTAAAGTGTCTGCCGAGTTCCGGCTGCGCCGGAGTCGGTTCAAAACGTTCTCGAATTCCACCGCGTAGTCTTTGTTCGTGATCTTGTTCAGGTAAATGTCGACGTCCACGGCGCTCGCTTTCGTTTTTGAACCGAACTTCTTACTGAGCTCGACGAAGTACTTGTCGATGTCGACGTTGCGAAGGACGGGGTCCTCGAGTCGCTCGTTCCAAGCATCGCGGCAGTAGTACGCGTCGGAGAGGATGGTTCGCGATGAACCGATCAACCTCTGCGGCAGCGTTTCTTCCAGAGTAGAAAATATTTGTTGGAAAACCCGCGCTGTTCGGCACGCACGATGCATGTAGAGCGCCATGTTTAAGAGTTGCTCCCACCGTTGTTGGACTGTCTGATCAAATCGCGCTAAACACATAAACAAGAGCAAAAAATTCTCCTTTTGGCTGTATCAATAAAAAAATAAAGACTCAACATTATTTTACAATTTTTTGTTTGTTTTATAATATACTTTGTACTAATTCCTGTAAAATTGTTTAGCCAACGGATAAGTGAGCCTCGGCCACGGCCATCTCGGCCGTAATCTCTATGCACAGTGCCTCGGCCTCGGTGCGTTCGAATCTTAAAACATTCCGGTAATTGAGGTGATTCAAGAATTCCCATGCATAGGGTAAATGATTCGGTGGTTGAATAAACTCTGATAACAGGTAATGCTAGACAATTGTCAAACTGAGAACCGTGTAATCCGGTGATCTTTGAGATCGAAAAAAACGAAACTCGAAACGAATGTGGAGAAAAGAAGAGAGAGGAGGGAAGGGGGAGACATTTTTACCTTATATGGGGGGTGTTTTCTATCTGTCACTTGCTTCCCCTTGAGAAATGTCATGATTCACGGGACGTTTACGTCAAAGGTGATCGCTCCGCCTTTGTAAAGCAGTCCACACGACACTCTCGGCGCGGATACGCTTCAAAGGACAGCGGAATAGCTCCAAAAGGCGCACGCCCAAACATCCGTCGCAAGGATCGCAAGTGGTAGTGGTCACACCTGCGTCCCTCGAAGAACGGTTTTCCTTTCGACACGAAGAAGGTGCGATCTTCGACTGCATCGTCCTCAGTGTGACCGCCTGGGCATCGAGAAGAAAGAAGGGTAACTATTATCTCGTAGCGGCACAAACCCGGCTCAAGAAAAACAATCGGAATTGCCGATTTAGGTCGAATGTGTGACGACCGGTGTGTTCGAAAATGCCCCAAAATCTCGAGCGGTCGCTGAGTTGAGACCGGATAGATTGAGCGTTTGCAAAAACAAAAGCGTAGGAGAAAAAAAAAAAAAAAAAAAAGTTTGTAGAGGAGAGTATGCAGGTGGTTGGAAGAAAAAAAAGAAAAATGAGAGTGCGGTGTCAAAACAGCTGTTATAATGAATCTGTTTCACGGAAGCCCGTGGCTGTCACTTTAAGAATTATGGCTTTGTCGGAACACAGAAGTAAGCTTTATAATCGCATAATTAAATTGCTTTTTACCTAATTGAGTGAGTGGATAAACACTGCCCCGATTGGGGTTTTGGAAGCGAGCAAAAGAGATTGAGTAAACGGGAAAGAAAACACGGCTGGGCACTACAGGTGGATATGGGTGTGGTTGCGATAGTGCTCGTGAGCACTATTTTCCAGACCCTAAATACTTTTTCAGTGAGGTGTGCATCGATCTGTCGCATACACGGGCGCTTACAATTTAAGTTTTTTTTTTTTTTTTTTTTTTTTTACGTTGGCATTTTTTATTATTTTTTTTTTCCCAAGGCACTTTAGCGGGACACGTTTTGGATCGCTTCGAGTTTGGATTACTTCGAGTTGGATCAAAGCTGCATCAATATCCATGTTGTCTTTTTCTTCGATCCCCACCTGCACTTTTGCGACCCTCCATGCACCAAGGCCATCCCAATTCTTATCGGTGCAGGATGTTCGCTTTATGGGAAACACGAGCCTCCTTCACCGGGATATGACGTGGATATGTTGCCCCCTGTGTCTCACCCAGATCCCCAAACATAAAAAAAAAAAAAAAAAAAATATATATATATATATATATATATATATATATATATATGTGTGTGTATATAGACGCTTTACACACGCGCCAGATTGAGCCGCCATAGCTGCCCTTCTCTTGTCTTACCGAGATGCCGAGCCACTGAAGCGGGCGTTGACGGGTCTTCACAAGGGTCTATGCTGGGCACAAGAACACGGTAGAATCTAAAATTGCAATAACCTGTCCTACTGTGGTAATGATGAAGTGAAGCGAACGGAATAAGAGGGAACAAAAACTGAAGGTCAGTTATGGCGGCGCCCATGCACATATGCTGTAAAGCGTCTATATATTCCCGCCGAAAGCCAAAAAACGGCGGAGCCCGGCCATTTTTTGGCTTTCGGCGGGTTCCTGAAAACTTCAATTCTTTGTTTCATTGAATTAAGTATGGTTCATTCATCTGCACATATTCGTTTATATCTTCCTCGGAGACCACGTACGATGATGTGAAGTTCCCGTGTTGTATGTTCAATAACGTGGCTCTTGATTCTCGCAGATGATGATGATACCGTGCCTCTAAAAGCTCATAAACAAAGAATACTACATGTACACGAGACGGGACAAACAGTGGGAGGATTTCTGGAGCACAAACGAGCACGTACCACGTGACACTGAGCGCCGTACCGCATTCCACATGGCGGCGTGTGTTTCCAGAACACCTCCGATTGGATACATTTCATTTCTTGTGCATTAATAAGACAGGTAGGAAATGCCAGAAAGCCAAGGTGGAGTGGTGTAGAGGTTAGCACACCCGACCGGACATTGGGAGGCCCAGAGTTCATATCCTGGCTCCGCCGTTTTTTGGCTTTCGGCGGGTTCCTGAAAACTTCAATTCTTTGATTCATTGAATTAAGTATGGTTTATTCATCTGCACATATTCTTTATATATATACATATATATTCAAGTTTATTGTTTTGTTATTTCGAGCTAAAAGTAAATGACAGAATTTAACTTACTCTATTGTTATATACCACCTCCAAGAGGGCCGGCAGGGGTAGAAAATTGTAAATAAAGAATCGGAGAGTAAACAATCTGTGGGGACCAGCAACTGCACTTGGAACTTCGAGCTTTGTAGTTTCACTGGTTTTTGTGTCCTTTACGTGCAAAACTTACTAAAATATATCTGGGCCTCATATGTTCGCAAACGAATTTTTGCAAGCTCCGACTTGCTTGATTTGTGGAGTGCATGCTTAATTGGTGCACAATCCCACTAGAAAGAGCAATTGCTAACCAGAAAATAATAGTTTCCAGCTTTCCCAGAAAACAAAACAAAAAAAAAAAATATGTAGTTTTTTCAGTGCAAAAATAAATTATGCACCTCTGAACCCCCATTCTTTGCCCAAAGGTATCACTAGAGGTCACAACCAGATGACAAAGTTTTTATTAAAAAGTTACGTGATTTTGTGAAAATTCCAATCGGAAAATGAGGCCCATTTTTGGCCGTTTTGGGTTTCTGGCGCCATAGAGCTCCATGTATTCGAGAGCTTCGTCGGCCGCCATATTCCCATTGAAATTTTCAGAAAATCACTAATAACTCTTGTATAAAATATTGCTTTGCACTGAGACTTTGGCATCTGGTTCGTACCTCTAGCACTACCTTTGAGCACGGAATGAGTGTACGGCGATGCATAGTTTATTTTTGCGGCAAAGAAAACCCTGTAAATTTTTGTTTGGATCGCCCTGTACTTCTTTCGCTTTACCATCTCAATCTTTATCTTGGTAATGGTGCTTGGACATACTTTACTAGACCTACCGTAGAATTCCGTGCATCCACCCATACCACACTAAGCGCCCATACCCGAATTTGTAAGATCTCAGAAAATATGCACAGTACATTCATATGTAAAATTGATGACTGGAAAAGTGCCCATCCCCCATTTTTTTCACGATTATCTTTAAATTTTGAGTGGGCGCTTTTCCCGTATTTTACGGTTGTGTAATGAAAATGTTATTTCACCTGGAGCTGAAATCTATCTTATTGATGTTGCAGCAAAGTTTGGACATTATTCCGCATTATTCCAGGAAGAGAACTGTAAACAAAATTGGATACAGCAGTCCACGAGCAGAAGTACACAGGACAACCAGCTCGCACTTCAAAAACGGTACGAGCAGTGAATGATGCGCAGCAAACGTTTGCAGTTTGTGACATCCTGTTAAAACAATGGAACACAACAGAGTGGTGAAAGGTGCACTAGAGCGGCAACTTTTGGACGTCGCGTAGAGTGCCTTGTCTCTCCGTCGTCCATTCGATGCGTCGTTCACAGTTCCTCGCGCATTTACTCCCCCAGACGCCATGGCGGCACACCCAGACTCGGTGATCCAAGAGCTGAGCAGGCTACACATCAACCACATGACGCCCCAGCAGTACTCCCCGACGCGGGGAAAGAAGGTGGCCCCCGTCGTACCTCCCAAACCCAAAAAGGTTGTGAGCGGTAGGCCAGACAACCCCCGAGGTAAGTGCGGATCCGGTCCATCCTTTGTTTTCTTCGGCATCTGGAATCATGGTTTGCACAAGTTCTGCACTTTGTTTCGCCCCAACTGGTGGCGAAACAGTTATAGTCAAAGGCTACAAGACGTACAAACAAGGGCACACATACCAAAAGCACAAGGTCACAGCGTGTTCATTGCACTTTATTGGTTTAGCTGATTACAATATATGCGCAACGAGGTGACTGATGCCGTGTCGTCGCACTTTCAGCGCTCTTTATTGGTGTTATCGGCTCAGCATAGCCGACCCTACAAGCCGATGGAACCAATCAGAGAGCTCTGAAAGTGCCACGACTGTCACCTCGTTGCGCATCCGTAAACAAAAATTTTACACTACGAACCGTCATACGCGTCGAAACGACTTCTTGTAACTATAGCCCCTCAATACGAAAGAAAAGCAATATCCTTTAAAGGGCACTGCTTGTTATTCTGAGACCGCCTTGATGGTGTGCGAATGCTGGAGAACACAAAATAAAGATAAAAGAGTGCGTGCAGTGGAGAAGGAGTGAGAGGAGAGAGGGTGGAATGCCTTTGCCTTCGGAGCGCAGCAGGGGTTACGAGCCGAGGTACTTAATCAAGAAGTGCCACAAGCGCAACGTCGCGGCTCTCAACGTCTTTCTTTGGGTGGGTTAGTCACGGCTAGTTCAATCAGATTCAGAAAGCGGACTGTGACCCTGTGCTTTCAGTTTGTGTGTATGCTGTGTCTGTCTTCTGTTCTTTGATTTGCAATCTGACTTTCGATTACACAAATTGTCCCAAAAAAAAGTTAGTGTTTTTTTTTTTTAATTTTCATTGCAAAAAGAAATGATGTTTTGCTGAACGCTCATTTTCCAACCAGATGTAGCGTTAGGGGTTGAACCAGAAGCCAAAGTTTCGGAACTAGCCGTTACCTCATTAAAGAGGTTATGTGATTATTTAAAAATTTGAATGGGAAGATACAGCTTGATTTGCCCACCATTTTCCCATTGAAAATTACAGGAAATCACTTATAACTTTTACATAAGCTAGCACCTAGTTCAGGAAATTTGGCATCTGGTTTGAATCACTAGTGCTACACTTGGGCAGAGAATGAGCATTCAACAATGAGTTTATTTGTTCGTTAAAAAAAAACAGAAAACCCTGTACATTTTTTATTTATTTTTAACATTTTGTAGAAATGCTTTACCACCTAAGATCTTGGGACAACCTTGATGGCTGCAGTTATAAAAAAGCAAAATATACATTTTAAAAAATTTTCGTGCCGGGGGGGATTGGAGATGTTGCCGCTTCTGTTCTTATTTGGGAGCCTAAGGCCAGTTGTGACGTCTTACGACTAAAGAACATGCTGGCGCCGTTTATGAGGTGACCATGGAACATCGTCAAAAGTTTTTCGAGCCAATAGCGAAAGAATGGCGCAGAAATTGCCAATGTTCCACGGCTACCCAATAGATGGCGGCAGTTGGACTACTTGTCATAAGAGATCGCGAGAGGCCATAAACGCTCTGTCGTAAGTCGTTGCGAGTGCCTGAATGGGCCTTTAGCCGGTAACCGGTGTCCCCCCCTTGCAGGTCAGGGTGCGGACGCGACCTATGCCAACTGCACGTCGGCCGCCGAGACATCGGCCGCCGATCCGGCGTCCCTTTCGGGGCCCATGCCCTGCAAGGCGGAGCCCCAGGCCAGCTCTGCAGCCGCCTTCGAGCTGCACGGCCGCGTGGTGCCGACCTCGGCCCCTGCCCCGGGTGCAGAGTCGGAGCTGGACCTTCCCCCTCCCCCTCCCCCGCCCACGCTGGGGCGAGTGCCCTCCTACTCGGCCTCGCAGCAGCACCAGACGTGCCGGGCCGCCTCGTACTCGGAAGACCTCCCTCCCCCGCCCCCCTCGCCCCCCGCGCTCCCCGGACAGCCTGACCTACGGGACGACCCAGTCCTCCTCGGGGGCTTCCTTCCACCACTTCAGGCCCCAGTCGTCGGCGGTGAGTGGCCCTCTTCATCTGTCCCCGGGCACTTTTCGTAGCCGGACAGACTTCGCGACTCAAATTCCATCGGCAAAAGCGGTACGCTAAAAGTATCCCACATAATAGATCTTTAAAAAATATCCTGCAAGGCATCTTGGCAAACCCGGAACGTACCGCATAGCTCGAGAAATGGACCTTTTGCAAAGCATGTGGTGGCATCCATGGCACTGAAAGGATTGCCAAGAACGGCAGGTACAGCCGGTTCTAGTGGACGACGGCGAGCAGGTCGGGGCAGGTGAGCAACTCCAGTAGCCTCTCGCTCTCTTGGGAGTTTGCACACGGCAGTTTGGGATTTTTGAAAAAGGTCTATTGATGGGCCGTTCCAATACACTCAGGCCGACTTGTAGGCGCTGTACATCCTGGAAGCGGTGCAGTCCCTTCTCTTACCACGGGGAGTTTGGAACACAAAGAAAATGGAACAAACACATAACTAAGCTGATGCATACCCTGTTTGATTATCGTTGGGCCACCTTTGCATTCTAAAATAAAAAATGCTAAGCCAACATGAATAGCTTCTTCAGTTCATCAGTACTCCTTTGCATGTCGCACGTTGGATTGCAGTAATGTGCTGGGAAGATGGGATGGGGCTGCATATTTTCATATTGGTTTATTGTGCTGTGTGAAACAGCAGAGTCTATACTTTGGAAAGTGTACTAAAAGTATATTTTGAGCACTACTATAGGGTGTCCCGACCAGAGCGGAGGATTTAATTTTGTACTCAAAAGCAGGATTTCTTGAAAAAATGCTAATATTTTTATTCCGGTACAAAATACACGCTGCAATCAATTGTGGAGCACACTCGACGAATGTTTCCTATGACTCTGCTGGGACACTTTTCCTCTCTTGAGGAAATTCTCATTAATACTTCTGCTTAAATGCCGCTCAATTTCGCCAGTGGCGTGTTGAATCTCCGCCTTGAGTCTGGCAATTGTTTGTGGTGTGTTGGCACAGACACAAGATTTTACAGATCCCAAAGAAAGAAGTCGCATGGTGTCAAATCACGCAACCTCTGTGGCAAATTTTGGTCATCGTTGAGCGAGACGTCATTCATTTCATGTGTTTTATATAGAGAAAGGGGCTGAATGCCGTGTCATCAAATTTGCAATCCATTGGAAAATGTGTTATCTCGTACAACCACATCCGAGCCTTTGTTCGTTTGCACCGGTCAAGGAACATCAAGAGGCAACGTTTGCATTTACAACCTTTTATTTAACATTACGATTGTCTCATAGTTAAACCGTGTGTTATGCGCGAAACTGAACAGAAAATCTCAACTAAACAACAAACTCACAAAACCCGTTTAAAAACAGGGCAGGAGCCAGATGCAAAGCGAGTTTGCAGCCCTTCCAACCAAACATAGATTCGCTCAAATGACCGCTGTTTGCTAAAACATCATTCACTCATGTGATATGTGATACAGAACCCTACGATGGCTGCATTGAGGGGGGACGTTGAAATAATAAAGCCGCTATATTGACGTTTTGGGGAAGTGACGCCACAAGCTTCAAAATAATTTTCGAAATATTTTGACGGTGGACCTCGAAATAGTCACTGCAAATGGCTCTTTGGCAGAGACCAATATGACATCAACTTTTTTTCTGTGCACTGCATGCTTTTGGCAGGAGCGATATGACCAGCGTTTGTGAAACACACTGTGTATTTTAGAGCGCAGCTCTTAGGCGCCCGTTCCCGGCTTGAGCGGCGTCAGCGTCGCCGTCGGCGTAATTGCGCAGTGCATTATGGGTAAATTTCCCCTCTAAATTTAGCGGGAAAATTTCCCCGCTAAATCTAGCGGAAAAACTTCCCCACTAAATCTAGCGGAAAAATTTTCCCGCTAAATCTAGCAGAGAAATTTCCCCACTAAATCTAGCGGAAAAATTTCCCCGCTAAATCTAGCGGAAAAGTTTCCCACTAGATCTAGCGGAAAAATTTTCCCGCTAAATCTAGCGGAAAATTTTCCCCGCTAAATCTAGCGGAAAAACTTCCCCGCTAAATTTAGCGAAAAATTTCCCCGCTAAATCTAGCGGAAAAAATTTCCCACTAAATCTAGCGGACAAACTTCCCCGCTAAATCTAGCGGAAAAATTTCCCCGCTCAATTTAGCGGAAAATTTTCCCTGCTAAATTTATCGGAAAAATTTTCCCGCTAGATCTAGCGGAAAAATTTCCCCGCTAGAACTACCGGAAAAGTTTCCCCCGCTAAATCTAGCGGAAACTTTTCCCCGCTAAATCTAGTGGAAAAATTTCCCCACTAAATCTAGCGGAAAAATTTCCCCGCTAAATCTAGCGGAAAATTTTCCCCGCTAAATCTAGCGGGCAAATATTGGTCACGTGACCTGGGGGGTCACATGACCCCCTCCCCCAAGGTCACCTGACACCCCCAGGTCACGTGACACCTTCCCGAGGTCACGTGACCCTTTCCCCTATGTCACGTGACCCCCCCCCCCCCCCCCCCCCCCCGAGAAACCGTGGCCCTCAGTACCCTTCCCTCCTCCTCCTCAAGAGCTGCGCTCCAATTCGGCGTTACAGGGAGTGGTAAACGGCTTTCACTTTTTTCCATGTGCAATAATATACCAAAATGTTGCAGCATCTGCTAAAGTAAGTATAATGCAGGCAGGCAGGACCTCGCTAGGCTGAACAATTTATTTCATGCACACTGAATCAAGAATGTGGGAAATACATTAATTGGGAGTACTGCAATGATGTAATAAACCCATCTGATAATGCTTTTATTTTATATGTGCCTTTCGTTTTATGCAAAACATTCCTTGCAGGAACGTTCTTCAGTAAACAAAAAGTTGGCACATTTAACAGTCAGGCAATGCATGCTTTCTTTGTGGGAGACCGTGGCAGCTATAGCCAGTGCGAGGCTCTTAGAGCAGAGCTTGCGGAGTATGGTTGGCTGGAATTTCTATTATTCTACAACAGCAATGCTATGTGATAGCAGAGAACGCAGTGAGTTGGTGTGGACTCTGTATGCTGAAGATTTAATTTTGTTTATTGTAAAGGCCTTTTGGTAATTTTGAAATGGTAGTTAGTGTGTGGTTGGTAGAAAACGAGCACTACATTTAAGAAGTTCTGCCATGTGTTTTACAATTAAGTAGTGTCTTCCCATTAGCAACTGAAGCACTGTAAACAAATGACTGAAGCGTGATCATAAAATTGATTACTTTTACCATCATCGTTACTATCACAAAACACCGAACTTGTGTTTTGTGCCCATATCTTCCAACAATCAACACAAAGGAATACCAGATTTAACTTGGTACTGCAGTGGGAATCCATATTCTCAATTTACTGTAAGCTCCACATATATAAAACGCATATTTTTACTTTTTCTAATCTTTTTTTTTGTGTGTTTGTGTGTGTGTTTTTGATGTAAGGCAGTTGTGAATAGAGCACTATATAGCTCCTACGGAGCAGAGTAGCGCAATCCTTTGAACCTCGTGTTTTGCCGACAAGATGGCCGACAGAGCGGCTCGGCGCGAGTCACGTGGTACTCAGGGTTCCAAGAGGCGGCCCGCCCTATGGGAGAATACATGGGGATCGATACAACACGGCTGATTAAAAAATGAACGGCGAGTTCACACTTTTCAAAACTAGTCTGTAGTGAAGTTAGTAAAGCACTAAACACTTTGTCAAAGTTTTAATAATATCGGATGCGTGTGCAAATTTTGAGAAGGCAATTTCCAAGGCAATGGCGTTTGAAGCAGACGATTTTTGCTCGCAGCGGAGATGGGCTTTTCGGGTTGGCCGGAGCGGGTCACGTGATTGGTGTGACGTCGCCGTGTCGTCTGCTGCATGATGCCGCTCAAGCAATTTTTAAAAAAAAGTCAGGTTCTTGCGGGTCACAAAACTTAGCGCAAATTATTCTAAAATGTTCCATTATTATGTCACAAACGATTGCCATTTCGTATATTCCCACAATACTGAAGAAACAACGATTTTCTCACGTTCTCCATGCATTTCTGACCGCAGTTGGAACCTCCGGGCGTTCGCCGCTAGTCGCCGAGAGACGGCGTTCTAGATTGCGCTACTCTGCTCCGAAGGAGCTATATAGTGCTCTAGTTGTGAAGACATAACAATGATAGAGAAGTGAGCGTGCCCTTCTTCAGATAGTTGTGATCAACGTTGGCTGTGATGCAAAAATATATGCAAGCTGCAGGTGAAGGCGTGCTTGCTCGTGTGTCTCCTTGTTATACATGAGGAATTTCTCAAAGTCGTATGAAGTAGGATGCGAAACCGATTAGGTTTACGTGTTCGTTTATATTTAAAGTAGCTACCAATCTCAAACACCAAGGGGAAAAATATATGTTTACATCGGGCTGAAGCAGTATCGTGCGGCCGAGAACAAAGTAAAACTGAAGCAACCTAACCTTTTTTGTTTTTTTTATGCACAGGATTTTGTGTGGACTGTTGCACGAGAGGCCCAATACTTATGATACGAAGCCATGGAAGGATAATAGTGATGTGGCACAATAATACAATTAATCGAAGGGCGGTTTGACGAAACGTTAATTTGAGGTAACGTTTGTTTGGGGTTTCTGCTTTTCTTAGTTTCGTTTTGGTGGCTAGGCCTAATAGGCGCGGGACGAGTAAAGTAAGAAAAAGAAACGGCGCAAGCCCAAGAAAAAAGAAAACGCGTCGGTTTTGGGGGAGTGGATGGTGCCGCGATCTATTTCGGGGGTCCCGACTTCGTGCCAGTTTCCTCTTCGTAGAGCTCGGGCGAGCGGGCTCGACTACGGCGGACAGAGCAGGCAACTGACGGCGCGGAAAAAAAAACACCGTCTGCTACTGAGAGGTCCTCGTTAGCGCCCGCTTCGGAAGAAGAAATGCTACCATGACGCAGATATCTTCTCCTAATTTCACCCGGTAAGAAAGGAATCAATTTAGGAATCTGCCGAATGCGCAGTAATGTAATTGCGCGCGTTAACAACGTTCGTTAACGGGGCGGCTTGATAGATATCGTCTGCTCTCACGGTATGTTGAACTGCGTTTTCGTTTCTGGCTGAATGCAACTGGACTCGGAAATCAAGGGCCTGATATCACCCACCGCGGACATGGACGAATTGTTTTGACTGACACCGTCTGACGGATGCAAACGCCTGCTTAGTCGAGAAGTGTGAAGTGGGTGCGTGGTTTATTTTGGTAGGTTCAGCCCGCACGCGCTATCGCTGTTGCCTAGCAGGGATATCGTCTTCCTGGTGCGCACTTCTCTTGTGCGGAATTCGGAGTTTGCTTTCAATCGTCCATTTGATTTGCAAGCTGAGATCTGGTGGGAATATATGAGGCGGGTTCTTCCTCCTCTTTAAATTGACAGCCCCCCCCCCCCCCCCCCCCCAATCTTTTTTCTTTAAAAATAAAGTTTAAAAGAAAGGTTTCCTGGCTAGCGGGTGTGACAGAGGGGAAGAAACTACTGCATATAAGTGTACTTATTTTACTCTCTTCAACGGGGAATAAAGAAAGGAAGATGAACAACTGCAGCCTGTTTTCTGTCCTAATGTCAGACTGGGGGTCATGCCTTCAGATGTCCACTGTCAGGATGACGCCATTGGCAATGTTGCTGCCTTTCATGCATAGAAAGTTAGTCTAAAAGTTTACTGAATTTGCATTTAGATAAGCCAGATATTGCAGTTTCTGACAGCTACTTTACTTTGTGACAGACATCTTTTCTGGTGTTCTGATGTTTTGATGCTGACTTACTGTAGTTCTTAAGCAAATGCATTTGACCAGCTGAGATGTGGGGTCTAATTAAAAAAAAAAAAAAAAAAAAGGTAGACATAGAGTGAGGACACTGCCAATCAGTAGGTGCCTTCAGTGTTCCTTTTCTCATCCATCTGTTCCTTTATGGAGGCCTACCACCTTTGCTGCATTAAACGCTGCCAGCATGTGGTGAAGCATAGCAGCACAGCTATTTGCCCTTTTTCTTTTTTTTTTTCAACAAAAAGGTCATCTTTGTTGGGACTTAATTTTCACACGCTTTATAGTGAATTCTCAAGACATTGGTTGGGCAGATAAATCAAGAAAAAGGTCAATGTTTTGGAAATAATTTTGATACACTATAAATTGGCCAAAAATACACATTCGTACGACTGCATGTGAATATATGTAGGTTCTGTAGATGACAGATTTGAAATAAACCGAGGCACAAGCAGTAATGAATGCTTACCTGAATAGCATTATTCACAGATTTAACTGGTTTCCTGCCAAAGTGTGGCCAGATTATAATGAGTCTTAATGCATCTGTGAGCCCTCCACAATATGCTATGATCACACTTTCAATTGCTAACAACTAACAATGTTTTTTTGTTTTGTTTTCTGGACACAATGCTTGGGGTGGCAAAGCAAAAAGGCAGATTTGCTTTGCCTGACGAGGCTTTGTAAGCTGTCATCTGTTGTAATGTAGCGTTCGGCTCGAACTGATGTTTAATCAATGAAGTATCGATTGAACATAAGCCCCAGCTGAACGCTGGTACAGCACTTCTGTCCCTCGCGCTCGATTCAGAAAAATATGACTTAAAGGCCTGCAACGATTTTTGGACTTTGGCAAATGAATTGTGAGAATTAGTCTCCAACACTTAAGTAATTGTAGAATGAAGAACAGTAAACCATTTTTGCTTGCATGAGCTAGTTTCAATTTTTTTCTAAAAAATATTAGATATTGAAGTTTCTGGTACCCCTCAACTCTTACACCGTCTTCCGAGTCACGTGCGCAGTGACATGACCATGGGAAACGGAAAGCGTCTGGTTGGGTTCTCAAACACGCTCGCAAGCTCTTTTTGTTCTCCGGTGGTCCGGGGGGGTTTTACCTCGAATCGGAACATTTTTCCAGCTCAGATTCAATCATGTCGGAATGTTACAACCAGTGGGTATCCTTGATGGTCACAGCCTGCGGCCAATCTCGGATGAGCAAGAAAATCTGTGTCAACACGCAATTTTGCCCGTTCTCGTCATGGAAGCGGCTGAGAGGGGACGGTTTTGTTGACTCTGGGTAGATAACGCCACAGACGCTCCATCGAACGATTCTTAATATTGGTAAAGGGCTTTTGACACATTTAGCAATGTTTAGATAGCAAGATTTATAAAATTTGGCTTCAAAATGAGCAGATGATTGTGCTGCTAATTCTAATTGCTAATTGACTACAGCACACTCGTGACAACGTCACGCCGTTGTTCCCATGGCCGCCACACGTGACGGCAGTCCCGAAAATAGTTGGGTTATTGCTTCGGTGTTATGCCGTGGAATTGCGGTGTTCTGGGGGAAATCAAGGGGTTTTCTTTTACTTGGGCTAAGGTAAACAAAATAAAAGTAACACGCTGCAGATTCTTGTGACGTTAAAATTGTTGCATTGCCCCTTTAAAGGATCCAGTCCTCGTGCCTTGTGTTGGGTAAACGTCGAGCTCCACATAAAACAAGCTGGACGAAGTGGCCCTTATGCGGAAAGCAACTCGTCTGCTTCTTGCGCAAAAGTTGCATTTACATCAGCATGACGCCAAACTCCGATTGGCCTTGATTGAAAGGATAGTGGGTAGACCTCGATGCTAGATGCCTTGACGTCTACCCACTATTTTTTTCAGTCAGCCAATAAGAGCTTGGCATTGTGACATCATCATAATCCCCTTGGAAGAAGCAGACAAACTTACGTTCCGTATAGTTTGATCTCCTCGCAAATAACCTGCCAGGGCCCAAAGAGGGCCCGTATTGCTTCAAATAAACGAGTGCTAAACCTCTAAACGAGACGTCATTGTTTGCCCTTCAGAGCACTTACGACACGGGCTCTATCTACGAGCCAATAGTGCCCCGGCCGCCCAGCCAGATGTCGGGCTACTCGAGTACGGGCTCATCGCTCTACTCGTCCTACTACCCGGGCCGGATGCCGCTGGGGGGCAAGCCCCCACACCGGACGGGCCAGGAGGCCGAGGTGGACCACCTCACGGACCTCCTCGTGCAGAGCATGGAGAACTCTGGGGACCCGGACTTCTTCGGTGGGTGCCGTGCCCTTCTCTCTTGCGTGTGGGGGCACTCTCTTGTGTCGTCACTGTCTGTGGAGGCGTGCAGCATCGGCACTGCCCCGAGACGGTACGCTGCGGGCCCGCGTCTTTCGGATGCGCCTCTGCTTCGCACACGCTCGTGCGGTGGAATTTTCTGACCTGCATCATTCACCTCGCTCGACCTGTTTGTATTTCCAACAAACCAATTCTCTCTGACCAAATCAAATAATGCGCAATGATACAGAGACAGGTGTTGCGCACGAGTTATGCCTAACCCGTAAGTATTTTAGAATTCAGAGAGAAACGAGCATGTCAGCGGTGCTATGGGGCTCTAGTACCAGCATCTTTGCTTTGCAGAAGAGTGTTGAAATGGGGGTCGGTTCATTCCTGACACCAAGAGAATGACATCATCATACCGATATAGCTATTTCGGGACACCTTGATATTCCACTTGATAGCACTGGTTTCCTTTTCTTTTTACATATGCAACATTGTTGTTTTAGACATTGTTTTTACTTGTGATGACGACAAGATCATTCCTTTTAAATGATGCAGTGATGTTTATCTCTCTATATCCTCGCCATGCTAACGCAGAGGATGATGAAGAACCTCCTGTGATTGGTAAGAGCCCGAAGCCATTCCTCAATTGTTCTTGTATCGTGGCCTGAGTGTTAAATTTTTGTTTTATTCTCTATGGCAACAAAAAACAGAATGGAAGATTGCTCCAAGATTGTACAGCTGGCTAATCAATTTTACAGGCTGTTTCTTCTAAAAGTGGAAATGATTTAGAAAGCGGAGCTTTGGAAGTGATTCCTTCAGGATAACATTATCGCCTGCAGTGAACATCAGTGCACAAGTGTAAACTGATTATTAACAAACTAATGACCTAAAATTAGGTAATTCATTTTCGAAATATTCATATTAGGTTGCGCATTCCAATCGGAAGATTTTCACATCGTCAAAAGAGTTTATAGCCGTTGTTGGACTTTAGGACTGAAAATTCTACTCCACAATTTTCAGTGGCATTTCAGGTTCTCCATACCAAAACTGAGAGAAATAAAAGCCCCAAAAGCTCTGAGTTTCAACAGATGTTGGAGCGTGACATATGTTTGCTGCAGCGATGTGGCCCTTCGATAATGCGCTACTATCAGGTTGGCTGGCAATGACTCGCTACTTGCTTCTATGGCAGAAGCAGGCGTCGCTTCCGGGTTCTTGCTTCTTTGTTTCTGCATTGCAGTCTCTTTGCATCTTAAGGGGAGACATGGGCCTGAGTTTCAAAATTTTTTGGAAAAATTCATTTTTCAATTTTGAGGTTTTCAGTTTTAGAAACTAATTATACACCCTTACACTACACACCTTACGCCAAACAGTTATGTTGATATAAAATATTTTCAACACATTGTGAGGCAGTAACAAAGTAAAGGAGTTCAATGTTTGAATGCATTGTTCTCAGTTCCGCTTTTTGCTGAAAATTTCAAACGAAGGAATCTTTTGTTTGAAGGTAAAATTATTTTGATACCACAATCAAGATGCTTCTGAACTGAAATTTACTGGGGAATCGGGCTATCTACTTTATTTTGTTTTACATTAAAGTCCTCATTGAGAAAAAACTATGTTTTCAAAAATTGACATAGGACAGATATGAATCTCATATTTTGAGGTTATCACTCTTCCTGAAATATTTACATTTAAGTTATAAAAACTATATAGCCCGAAGTCCCACATCCCCCACTTTATACTGAAGCACTTAAAATGGTGCCTAATAGCTTCATTTGCATATCATAGATTTCTTAACAAAGAGTGACACATCTTCTTATGCAGGTATGTAAAGTTGCCCTAGAGAGTTGAAAGTTTGCACAGTACACCTACATCTGAAGTTAAATCTCCCCTGCTAATTTCATTCCTATCACTTGAGTAGTTCAAAAGTTCAACCTCTAGCCAGTGTCCCCCCTTAAGTTGTGATGGGGCGAAACTTTTTCCGAAACGGGTCTCGGACCCGAAACAGGGATTTCGGAAGGTTTCGGAAGAATGGCCGAACATTGGTATGTTTCGGATAGGTTTGGATAATTTCGGAGCATGGCCATTGAGCATTGCAACTTTAAGAGCGCAGCTCTTAAACGCTCGTTTCCAGCTTGAGCGGCGTCGCCGTTGCCATCGCCGTTGCCATCGCCGTCGCCGTCAGCGTAACCACGCGCATTGCATTATGGGAAAATTTCCGTGCTAAATTTAGCGGGAATTTTTCCTGCTAAATTTAGTGAGGATATTTTTCAATGCAATGCTCGATAGCGAGCTATTGAGCATTGCAAATTTTTTTACAAAACAATCTTATAAACCACATCAGATAATTCAAATTTTAAATATAAATACTTAATTCCATAAAATAGGCTTGTTCAGATAAAATTTGAGATGTGGAGAAATTAAATAACAAACACCACGACACAAAATGTTGAGATTTCGTGTCGGTCAAAATGGTTTCACTTTCACACCTTCCATAGTCACGCCGTCAAGTGACCAAAACAAAGCGTGCAGGGAGATGAAATCGATTATCACAGATTGCAACACTCGTTTTGATTGCATCAATAGCTCGGCGACATGTGGTGTTTGTTCCAAGCGCCGGGAACGTTGCAGTTTACTTTGACTCAACACAGGTAGCATGTGGAAGTGACTCTGTTGGAAGATCTCCGACATCTGTTATGCAATCGAGAATATGTGCATGTGCTGCCCGATAAGAAATAAACATTGCAGATCTCAGTACAGTTGTTTCCAACAAACTTGATAGGTATACAATCAACAGGGGTACTCGCATACGTTTCTGAGGGGATGCACCGATCGACTATTTTTTGCAGCAGCACAGGCTGCAAACAGATGGCGGCGAGACCTTCGCAGAGCTAAAGCTATTTGCACAGTACAGATTGACGAGGTTTGCTTCATCTCCCACCCCTATCTGCTGCAGTGGCTACGTAACTTATTCCTAGTTGTTCAGAAAGATACTATTCATTGCTTACCCGATGACAATTATTACTCGTGCCCCACAGTTAGGCGCCTTTCATGCAGAGTGCTCCGCTAAAGACCACTGGCAGCGTGTTTCCAGAGTGGAAATGAAATCACTAATAAGTCAACCGTGATTCATGACCGAAAAGTTTGGGAAGCCTACAAACTGCTCACAGAGCTCTGACACTTGGACACGCATAAGCTGTCAAAGAGCTTTGCTTTTCTAGCTCCTATTATCATTTTGGCCGTCACTTCGAGCACGGACAAAGAATGCGCTCGATGGGTCGACGCACCCGCAAGCCTCGGCATGAGGTCGTAGAATCTACGAAGATCCCCCACACACTGCGGGCGACCTACCAGAAAACTGATTGAATTTCGGTCTGTATTAATTGATTTAGAGTCTTTAAACACTCCCAGCATACACAAAACGAAAGGAGCAATGCCATGTTGACTAGATAACGATAAAACTGCCAAACCTTCGAAACAACCGAAATTTCGTCCAAAAAGTTTCGGAATCTTTCGACACAGTACGAAACCGAACCTCCATAGTCTTGCCTCTGAAATTTGCCACTGAGTAGTGCGAAGCAGAATTTATATATCTTAATTCTAACAGCTGCTATGCCCTATTTTGACAACAGGCAATAAATCTCCATTTCAATAATGCCAGCAAAGGCAAGAACTGAAAATGCAAATAAATGGATAAGTCATATCCCAAGATATGCCACTGTTGATAATGTAATTTCGAAAGAATTGTTTCTTCATTTCGAGTGCCTTTTTTTTTCAAATATAATTTTCACTTCTTGTAAATTAAAATAAATTTATATCAAAGATAGGTTTAACGTAGTAGTCCAAAAAAAATATTCAATGTCTTTTCAAGCTCTCTAGAAGGAAGTCATTCAGGAAGGCAGATGAATGAGTCATACCGCTCAAATGAAATGGGAAAACCACCGAAATATGCCGAAGCCGGGTCCAAACCTATTAATCCCATATGTTCATGATTGCATCTTAGTGGTTGTTTCAGAAGCACTTTATTAAAAGAAACCTCTCAACGTCAAAACTGACGTTATAGTTTACTCTGTGTGCAACTAGGCAAGATAAAAAAAAATTCACCTTCTCTACTCTTCACAGCTACAACACATTTTAAAAGCCAGTTTAAGTGATCACTTGTTTTCCTGAGGCACAGACATGGTTCATTATTTATTGCCTCTTCCACTGTCCTTAGATAAACTATGTACTTGTCTGGAAACTTCAGCGGTTTCTGCCTTATTAAGTTTTGTCACCTCATGCAATGCCAGTTTATGAGTAACAAAAAAAAATTAAAAACATTTTGTAAAAAAAAATGTTCTAAATTATTTTTAAAGCAGATGTCCCACTCTTTTTCATGACGTGTGTTAACCAAAGTACCCCTAGGTCTCAAGTGTAGATGGCATTTCCAATTGTCCATCTCTTCGACGAGTACTTGGGCTTTTATGAAAGAGGAGACGCATCGAGCGACTTTTTCTGCGGTGGCCTCTCTGAGCCTACGTACAGCCACCTCGGTGGCTCTAAGGCAAAAGCGCCGGCCTACGGATCCCCAGGTGGCGGGTTCAAATCCCGACTGAAGTGCCCGCAATCTGACGGAGGCTCCTTGCGGAAAGGGCGCTGTGTAACCAAGCTTTCGGTTACACGGCGCGGCTTTCGGTCCACCTGGGGATTTTTTGACGTGCACGTGAAAAGATCCCCAGGTGGTCGAAATTAATCATCAGTCCTCCGCTGGGGCGTGCCAGATGCCCAGCGTTGGTTTGGCACGTAAAACCCCCAAATTTGACTTCTGAACCCACGTCCATCTGTTAGGTTCTCCGAGCGATCTGATTGGTTGATCCTTGATGTTGGCAGCGTGCCTCTGGTGCTTCCATTTGTTCCTAGGGAAAACTATCCAATAGCACAACGAAGAAACTCCAGACCTGATTGTCTAAAGACCGCTCCTCTGTTAACTTTGCTAACTGCAGCTGAAATCTCCCCATTCGTCTTTCAGGAATGTGCTACAAATGTGGGGAGAAGGTTCTGGGAGAAGGCAGTGGGTGCACTGCCATGGACCAGGTGTACCACATCAAGTGCTTCACCTGCCACGTGTGCGGTGAGTACTCTTTGGGTGTCGAGCTTAAGTACCATATTTTCTGGAGTGCAGTCCGCAAAGACAAAGTACGGCTGAAAAGCACATCATACAGAAATTATCATTAATGCGTAATCTGTCATTCACAAAACATGGCATGTCTCATCATGATGAATGGTTTAAAAAAACCAAATCCTCATATGGTTTGCACCTGCGGGTAGTACACACTGCATAACATTGCAACTTTTATACATGCGTAAATAGTCTGCAGACTGTAATCTGGAAAGTATGGTACCCAAGCTTCCAGAGCTTTCCGCCTGCACTGGTGGTGAGATCAGACTTCCCTTCTCGCAGTGAAAGAACTTCGTGGGAAGCCCTTCTTCGCAATGGACGGAAAACCATACTGCGAGGAAGACTATCTGGTGGGTTGACATTTGCTTACCCTTGTGATTGAATTGTTGCCTTTTCTCTGATGCAGAAGTCATCTTTCAATGTGCAGCAGCACTTGCAGGGAACTTGCGAATGTAGTGATGCTAAATGTAGATGCTCAGTAGAAAGACAATGCTGCCTTGTCAGCCAAGTCGTAGAGGCGAGGACAGTACTCTCCTGTAGCTCATTGAAGAAAAAAAATATCAATACTTTGCTATATGGTGAAGATCTGTTATCTAATATTCATTTCTCAAACTCTCTTGACCTCAAGCTGGAATTCTATACTGCGCGTGTTACGCCCCCAAAGCTAAATTCTTTCTGCTTTCTTTAATTTGAATCTTACATAATTATGATCTTATTCAAAACAACTCTGTGGGTATTGCAGCTTCCTAGGTAGTTGTATCATATGCAACTGGTGCTTTCTGTTAACCAATTGACCTTCAATTTTTTCTTCAATATATAATGCTTATCTGTATGTAAGAATCCACTTTGTCGTGGACTGACCATTCTCATTATGCTGCATGTTAATTCTATGATGCAATATTATTAGGATGTTGAATTAGATGATACATAAATGCAACAATGGCATGTTTTGTCTCTTCAAGTATGCTCGTAGCTGAAAAGTGTACAACTAAAGGCTGCAGATGTTTTGTTTTCTTGCAGAGTTTGCTCGATTCGAGACAACACACACTTAGTTGTGTTGCACAATAAAATTGTGTTCTGGTTTACTCTTTGGTCTATTGCTTGCCAATATGCCTGTCTCTTTGAACTATGTCTTGCAGAACACACTGGAAAGGTGCTGCGTATGTGAGAAGCCTATCCTTGACCGGGTAAGTGTTAGCGCACAAGACGCACCATGCGGCGGCAATGTCCTTAGAGTTTAGACCGTTTATTGGTCCATAAACTTTGTCGGTTTCTGCCATAGAAACTTTTCTCCCTACAAGCAGTGGCAATTCATGTAAAAATAACAAAAAATATATATATATATTTTTTTAATTTTTTTTATTTTTTTTTTTTTTTTTAACAGATGTAGTGACTTTTATGTGGCCTTTAAATTATTCCAAAATAATATGACCCCTAGGTCCCGAGTAAAGATGGCGTTTAGCATCGTCCATCTTTTTGACGAGTCTGTGGGGCTTTATGAAAGAGCAGATGCATCCAGCAACTTTCTCCACAGTAACTTCTCCAAACCAACATCCATTCGTTAGGTTCTCCGAGCGATCTGATTGGTTGAGACCTCGCATTGGCAGCGCATCTCTGGTGCTTCAATTTGTCGACAGTGAAAACTCTCTTGTATAGTGACGAAAAGGTTCCAGACCAGGGAATCTAAGGACCGTGCCAGTGGCAAAAGAATTGCGGCAGCTCTCCAACTGGCTTGTGGCCTTGCAGATCCTGCGTGCCACAGGCAAGCCGTACCACCCGGCCTGCTTCAAGTGCGTAATGTGCGGAAAGTGCCTCGACGGCATTCCCTTCACGGTGGATGCCACCAACCAGATCCACTGTATCGACGATTTCCACAAGTGAGTCCCCCTTGGGGCGTTCCGCCAGCATCGCCGGGCTAGGTCGCCAAAATTTAGCGAAAATTTATGCGTATGGGAGCAAGAGGGAAAGCAAAGGGAGGAAACAAACGAACAAGCGGGAAGAGCAGCAGTGCACAGTCTCTAAACTAGAAACGTCAGTTGAGATTTCACAATCCTGGACAGCAGTTAGACTAAAAGTAAATGTCTTAGAATTAACGCTATTAGAAGGTACTGAGGGGAAAGGAATGCGGTACTTACAAACCGTATCGAGGGACATATTAAACGTGGCTCCCAATGCAGTATGCAGTGTCGCTGCTGGAGGGTACTATGAAGTGGCCGTTTGCAACCGAGCGGCCAGATGCGACGGCCAGATACTACCTACACTGAGCCAGTTGTTACAACAGTTTGCTTCGTTGCTGCCCGCCATATTTGACGTGTCTTCCTCGCACATTCTATCGTATCCTTTGTAGCTGATAAAACCACGCAGAGCATGTTGCTTAAGGCATGAATTTATCTTTTTTCTACGCCGTTATACGCATATCTCGTAGATACTGTATAGTAGAACGGTAGTACTGAGATAGGCGTGCAAAATGTGCACATACATATCCCGTAGGGGGAGATGCACGAGATGCATGAGATGCATACGAGAGTTGAGTGGCACGTGGGCCCTCAGTTTCCGATTCATTGCAGTATCCTGTTTTATGGTCAGACGAGCATGGTAAGCGACACTGTAGCTTCGACTGGTATCCATAATCGCCGGCAGAATGAGAACGGCAGGGAAATATTTTTTTAGTTAGAGGGCTCACGTCGGAGGCCAGACGACCGAAGAACTTCTGGGTCATTCTAATCTTCTTGGTGACTTTAGTAGGAACAGAGTTTGCACGGGCAGAGCGCATCTCGGGCTTCGTCTCCGACACGAGACGTAGCGCGTAGATGGCAGTCCAGGGGTCGTCGCGCGCCACCGCCCGTAACGCGAGTGTGACTTGCCTCGCAGGAAGTTTGCCCCCCGCTGCTGCGTATGTTCCCAACCCATCATGCCGGAGACTGGGAAGGAGGAGACGGTCAGGGTGGTAGCCCTGGATCGCAGCTTCCACATCAACTGCTACAGATGCGAGGTTTGTCCAAGAGATTTCTTTCTTTTGAAAGGGCAGGAAACACTAATTTTAAAATCCCGAAAAAAAAAATTAAAAAAAAAAAAGTTACGAATTGCGACTGTGAAGTTTGAGGAATCACATGGCCAAGGAGAAGATGCCAGGCTGGTAAAACCCGACCCTGCAGTGTCGGGGACTGCTTTGGGCTCCGTAATGTATGAACTGAAGGTACAGTTTTTAGTTGAGTTTATCTTTTTCTCCTGTAGTTTATTTATACCTATGTGAAGGATTTGCATAACCTTGGATATTTTTTTTACAAGTCCCAAAATTTGACGAAATTGTAGATGTGGGTAATTGGTGCCGCATTTTTATTTATCATGCTAGCCATTCATTTAATGCTGGTATTGAGGCTTTCTAAAAATTCCATTAGCTTTAGGGATGCATGGTCAGGATTGCGGAGTAGCTGCATCTTCGTAAAATGGCTCATACTTTTGCAAAGAATTACTTTTCGTCAGAAGCTTGGTAGGCGACACTTTCAAAGCAGTAGCTTCTGTTCCAGAAAGCCTGCATAAAAGTCCACAACAGATTCAAAATCCTCATTAGAAAAATGTATGGATATCAGTAATATAAGTCTTTACTGTCCTCAACTTTATCAGGACAGTAGTTTTTTTCTAGTGACAAAACTGAAGCCTGAAAACAGACCCATGGATAGATAGCAGTGTAGGTTATGGTGGTGTACCCAACTGGGCCATGCTGTTGTAACTTGCGTGGCAGTATTTTCGTACGTAAAATGCATGTTGGTCGCAAAGAAGCTACAATGTGTATATGTTACAAACCAAAATTGAACTTAGTGAGTGTTCCAGTTTAGTGTCACAAAGGTATATATGTATAACCAGCGAAGACTAAAACGTTTTAACCCACATTCTGCAGGACTGTGGACTGCTGCTGTCGTCCGAAGCAGAGGGCCGGGGGTGCTACCCACTGGACGACCACATTCTGTGCCGCAGCTGCAATGCCCGTCGTGTGCAGACGCTCACTTCCAGGATGGTCTCGTAGTTCCAACGAGGTCGGACGAAAGAAGCACACCCCTTGCTGTGTATGCCAATGTGATATGCGAGAGAGAGGAAGGCTGCACCTAGAGGGATTGTGAAACAACCTTGGGAATTATAGTCATAACTCTGGCGGTGCGAGACGCCTCTTCATTGGAAGGCCACATTTCCACCACGTTATCTAAAGGCGGACTACCTTTCCCCAGAGCCGTATATGGGGAGAGTTTGGTCAGTCTATGATCTCGCCGCCGTAACGCTCTCCTCCCAAGTGAGCCAATCAGCACGTGGCGTAGAGCGAGAGGCATGAGCGCATGCGTGTGAACTCCCGGCTGCTCCCACCTGAGTGGGGGGGGGCCGCCATCTTCGATCATTCTCCCGGCGGAATGCGTGGGACCAGCATCTAAATCGCGATTATTGCCTTTTATATCACTGGCTCTGATAAGAAAATTACATTGTTATTCCTTGGTGGGTTAAAAAGCTAATAAATAAAGATTTTTCGGCGTATGGCCTTAAACTTTTATTCAGGCGAAAAAGAAGTCGGCCCGTAGCAGACGACGCGTAGCCTCAGCAGTGCTCTTCTCTGACCAGTCTCCAACAGCGTTGCTAAAAAATGGCGGTCGTCTCCTCTCTGCTCCCTTCTTTCTCTTTCGCTCCTTCGGCGCTCTCCTCCTTTTCATTTACATTTCTTCTCTCCGGCTCCTTCGTCGCCACACCCACTGGCCAAACTTTCCCAATATACAGCTCTGCCTTTCCCCATGTACTGGCTTTATCTAGCGCAGAGTGGACAGCTGCGGGACATTTGGGCGACACTAGCCAGGGAATGCGATTTAATGATTCTGTTGGCATCAGCCAGAGAGCATTTTGCCATTACGAAAGCCACATGCATCACAGTGACTTGGCTTTGGAAACTCCTCTAGTGGGGCAAAGAACCGGCTAAACAGATCCTTCTGACCGTCTTTGTAAATGTCAGTAGTGCACAGAGCTGCCCAGAATTTCTTGCAAAAAGTCGAGAATATTTGCATGGGTCAATTTTACTTCGTCATTTTTACAAGTAGCGTCTAAAGACTGAACCGTGTGTCCTACATACACATGTTGTACAAGCATTGAGGGTTGGTGTTCAACTTTTACCCTGAAGCCAACACCCGAGAGTTGTTTCATGGTCCCTTCAGTGCCAGTTAAGAAAGCCAGCTTTTGTTCTTTCACCACTATAGAGTTTTGTGCGACGTATTGCTGCCCTCTAGCTGCAAGTGAGTGTTGTACTATGTGTACCTACGAAGTATAGTATTAAAGGTCAGTCAATTTCCACATTTTTACTTATGTAATGTACATATCCACAATGAAGTACAGTGCCAATGTTGTGCGAGACGAAAAGGTCAATAAAGTCCATACCTTTATGTATGTTTTTGCGAGCAGATTTTCTTTTTTTTCTCCCCTCTATCGTGCTTGATAAAACTATCCGCTGGCATCTCTTCCCACAGCTTGAGAAAAACAGTGTGGCGATCCCCAAGGACCTTGTTATAGCCAATGAGACTGCATTATCAGCCAACAAGAGTGTGAACATCAATGCCATGCTTCTTTAAGCTGTCTGAAACTACGGCATTTTGCACTTTCCAAGTTCGCATTGGGTCAGCATTACATAACTGCAGGAAAACTAATTAACCAGGTCAGAAATAAGTAGTTCGAGGTGCCTTGAACATAAAATGTGGAAGTGTGGTCCTCCCTGCGAGCGAAGAATCTTGTCTGAAAGAATACGCCAGTTGAAGTACTTGTACTGTGGAGACTGGCTCCATTCTTATACGAGGGGCAACCAATAAGTTTTGCCCCCTCGGCTGTACCTTTTTTACTCGGTGATCAAATGGAAACACGTTACATTTGAATTAAACTTTAGAATCTCCTCTTCTCCAGGAGCACATAACTTTTTCAATATAGTCCCCAATGGCGGCGATGCACCTCTGCTACCGGCGCACTGCTCTTTGCGTGCTGTCGTAGATGATCGTGGGCGGCTGTTGACGACACCAACGGTGTACTGCATTGGTAACCTCGTCGTCGGATAGAAACCGTGTACCCTTCAGATGTTCCATCTTGGATAACAGCCAAAAGTCTAATGGCACGAGGTCTGGGCTATAAGGTGAATTAGGCAAAACATCTTGGAACTAGTTCTTCCAGCACGGCATTGGTGTCAACAGCCACCCTCACTCATTTTACGGCATGCAGAGAGTGGTGCTCTGGTGGCGGAAGTGCATCTCCGTCGTTGGGGATTATGATGAAAAGTTATGTGCACCTGGGAAAGAGGAGATTCAAAGCTTTAAACAAAAAGGTTACACCCTCGTACGTTGTTCAGTATGGACCTTTGAGATGGAGCTAAACGTACTCTACTGAAAAGAAAATTCAGCACGACTGAATCAACTGAATAGTAGTATACCTACCTCTTGAGAACTTCACAGCCCTTCAGGTTCAAGGCAACAAAAATCACTTGTCTCAAATCTCTTTTGAGCATCCTCGCCATTAAAACTCCAGTTCATTAGGTTCATCCACTGGGTCAGTAACTCTCAAACGGGGGTCCACGAAGCCTTGTCACATCAGTCAAACCCAGAAATAGAAGTTGTCTTTGTCGACAAAACGTCGCAACGTCTGTCGATGAAACGAGCAGGCGCTCGTTTCCACGAAACGATTTGTCGATGAAACATCACTGTCGACGAAACGATTGTCCATGAAACATTGTACAACGAACCGCTTTCCTTTCCCCTCGCTGCCAAACGGGGTCCTCCATCATCTCCGCCAATCCACAAGGGGTCCACGTAACATTAATGGTCGAGAACCACAGCACTAGGAAACGTTACTTTGCACTAGGTGAAAGGCCACGCAACTAATCCGCATACCACACAAGGCAGGCTGAAGTTGGCTGGAGGCATGAGCTATTGGCTTCAAAAGCTGCTCCCACAGAAACAGGTCAGGATCAGTGCCATCCATGCGTTAAAATGACATACTTGTGACTGCATGTCGTAGGTGGAAGCACCAAGAACAAAGCTGCTGAGATGATGATGTGCCCATTACGAGTATGTTTCTCGTCAATGTAAATTGTCTTTAGCTCTAATAAAGACTGCCTCTAGAACTGAAAGTACAACGTAAACTATTAAAACATAAATAAACACATTTTGGTTAATTACCCGACTCCCGTATTACATGGGAGACTCCCGAATTTCGACCAGTTTGCACAGTTGTACGATTGGCGAAGAATCTCCCGGAAAACGGACGGCTGCAATGATAGGGAGGCCCAGCGGCTGTATCTCGCTAGCATGAAGCGTGCAATATAAATGTAATTTAATATTTTTAAAAAATCTCCCCCGCTTAAAATTCTTGCGTATTTGGTTTCTCCAAACTTCGCAGGTATGCATCTCCCGTCTATAACACCCACTTAGCCCAATAGACATGCTGTGAAGACTATCTGCAAAATGTCTTCCTTTTTAAATTTTGTATGAAATAGGTCAACTGTTTTATAAAACAACTCTGCCCATTTACTTTATTCAAGTATGCAAAGAGTGAACTGTTTCAACCAACAAACCAATAAAGGGGGTCTTAAAATAAAACCTGAAAAAAGACTCTGAATTTATTGAGGTATTTAGCGCACAAGGCTCTTTTCTGTCCTGTCCTCCTTCTCTCTACTTTGTGCGCTAAATACCTCAATATGTTAGACTACCAAATAGCCCAAATGTCAACTTTACTGACTCGGAACTTATGATCACTGCACTCAAAAGACCCCATTGCAGGCTGCTCTTTAGGTGCAAATGTGGTCTTGGCTCTCATTCATCCGAGGGCTCCAGCAAGTTGCGGCTGGCTCTCCGAGATCCGTGGAAAGTAGTCACTAAGCAAGCTACGCATAGAGGACCGGCACCCCATCTCCCATTTTCTTGTGGGCTGGCTACAGGGCAGTCACGATTGGCAGTTACTGCAGAGATTGCTGCAAATAAAAAAATGTGGCTTCCAGAGCTTTATGATCTCCTGCAAATGGCCAGTTGTCTGAAGTGGAAAGTATTCGCATCTTTCTTAAAAAAACACATATATGTTTAGGTAAATACCACACATCACATTTAGCCCTCCATATTTAAATTGTTCGTGCAAGGTCTGAAACAAGATCCAGGCATTTTCTACCGCCAGGTTTACATGGATGCAACCTTAGTGCATTGAACAAAGGTTGGGCTACACATGAGTACAAGAGGGTTGAGCGAATGCAATTGGTTCCCTCTTCACATTCACATAAACACAGCTCATGATAAGCACTGTTGTCAACTCCCAAAGAAAATACGACCCCCTTCTTATTTTCTTCAGAGGAAAGAGAAAACGGATCTAGTCTTTTCTGGTTCTGCACTTGTTAAATTTTCTATTTCATAAAATTTTATAAAAACTATATTTCAAAATATTGCAAAAAAAAAAAAAAGAACTGGATTAAGAGGTTAAAAATAATTCTATGCAAAAGGAAAAGGCAGTTCATATATTTTCTCGAGAATAAGCATGCAGGAATTAAGTTTCCCCCCTTCAGCAATATGTTTACCAACACTACAGTGGAATAAAGGATCTCAAACTCCACAAACATTCATTTTTATCCCCACACTTTTATTGTACTTTTTTTTTTGTATGTTACATGCAATTTACAAGACAAGAGGTGCAGGGACTCTCAAAATAAATAACAGCACGCGTGACACCGGAACTTCCCTCTCTGTTCTCCCCCCACAGCTGTTCAGACACAGGACAGTGCCGGCTAAAAACTAGCTCTTTTAAACTCGTCAATAAAGACACCAAAAAGAGCTATGCACGAGCAAACTGAGAGGCAGAGACTGGTGCGTAAAGACAATAACTGAGTAAGCTGCGTCCGGTTAGCAATGCAAGAACTTGCTGCTTCCATCGGAAGTCGGTATGACTTTGGGTGGGAGCAACTGCATGCCGGCAACCCTGAAAGGCTCTGCCGCGAGTTGGCGGCACGTTTGTCAAACGAGAAATTGTCTCGCAGTGAAGCAGACATGTCGCCCTTCTGCAAGTTGCTGCCACCCAAACCGTCAACATGCTGATACATAACGGCTGTTGGAGTGAGCAGTTTAACGCTGCACCATTCACATAGCCTGTCATTACTGAAAGTAAAGGTAATCACAAAAAAAAAAAAAAAAAAGAAATGGCTGAACACAAAATTACTTTGTTTAGAGACAAACGAACACAAAAAAGAAAAACATGTTCCAAATACGCTAGACTAAAAAAGAGGTTATGCCTACGAGCCATTTTTGGGGCCTGCACGAAACCAATACTGACATGCTAACCCAGGAACGGGGAAAAAAACGGGACGGACAACACAAAGCTCCAAAGTTCCTGGGTTGCCATGTCAGTATTGAACCAGCTCGCCTGCACATTTAATTTAGTTTCAATGAAACCAAAATGCTAACATGTAGAAGAAAAACAAAAAAGATAGCATCAAATGCCGTTGTTCCATGACTTAGGCATTCAGCAGCACGTTCCTTTTCATTCCACATCCTCTTCCCCACCCCCTCCCTTTAATACATATTAAAAAAATTTTGTTACAAATAGAACCGTCCATGGGAAGTCTCAGAGACCGTACACATCCTCATCACTGTAGGCTATGTATAGGAAGAAGTCCTCTTCGTGGTGTTCCTGAAAATAGAAAAGGCAGAGGAAACGTTTTACTCCCTCTTTGCTAATAGGATGAAGGGAATTAGTATACTACTTTTACACTGAACTGGCACCAACAGTCCTGGCTAGTATCAAAAGAGCAAGCCACACATCAGTTATCAGTTCACAAACGTGATCATCAGCAAATCCCAGAGATGCAATCTTGCACCTGTGGGGCCGCATCAGCAGCGCAAGCGGACGTAATCTAATCCCTGGCAAAGCCAAGCACTGTTCAGTCCAGACATTTTAGAGATAGGTGGGCAAACTGGCTTTACTTCCCGCAATTCGAAGGATGATCACATTACACGAACAGAAGACATCCAATAATGAAAACTGACTCAGCCCAGTGATCCACTGCGACGTTTATCCACTTTGACATACATTTTTAACAATAAAAGCCGATATGCCCTGCAAATGATATGTTTCTTAAAGGCTGACCTAACAGTCCTCTTCTGCCGGGCAGGGCACCGGTTCCCAGTTTCCCTTCTCTGAATTTCCTCTCGTACTCTTTTCTCCTTTCCCCATGGGAGCAGGTCTCAGAGCCAGCAGCGCAGACGTGTGTATGTCAGCCTTTAAGGATGGCTACCAGTTCAAAGAGAAAGGTTGGCAAACGACATTCGAGGCGCAAATGTTTCAGTGTCTTTTATGTAACGCAAGATGTAAGAAAACGGTGCTGCATGAACCAGCCTTTACACTGTAAAGGCTGGTTCATGCAGCACAATGTTTCTGCCAACATTTAGCTCACAACATTCATGTAATTAAGCATTGCCACCTCTGCCGTAGTGGTTTCTTTAATCGATTTTAGAGACGATATTCCACACTTAATGGTAGGGCAGACATTGAGGGGTTAGCCAAGATCCTCCAGCAAATGTTTTATTTGCACCATGTACGCTTATTCAGAATTGATATCAACACTTTAAATCCAAGCTTGCCTACTACTTTCAGGGATTCTATTTTAACCTAATAAAATTACAAAACCCAAGCAACTGCTTCTATTAGAGGCTTTTGAATTTAATAGACCTTATGTTAAGCCTATTGACGGTGTGTGTAGCAGGAAAAACCTGAGAAACAGGACAAGGCACTTGGCTGGTGGTGCAGTTCTGCGCCTTTCTTTTATCCAGGATTTACCATTTCAGACTAATACGAGGCATATACCTAAAAGCGTTTCTAACACCAAGAGAAAAACAACATCAAAGGTACTCCGTAATTTGTTTCTTGGTACCCGATTTGCTTTAAAATTGTCTAGACATGCCAACAAACATCGCTGAAATAATAACCCAGATATTAGATAAAAATAATTTTTTGGCAAATTTATTTGATTTTTATATTTGGTGTTCACCCTGACATATGAAAATCTACATTTGTGCTTTAAAGGGACCATGAAGGCAGTTTCGAAGTTTTATTCGACGATTGAAATGGGATGTCAGGCACGTCTCGGATACTGTTGACCAAGTTCTAGCCCGAACAGAAGTTTGGGTGCCGCACCAATAGAGCGAACAGGCGCGGTAATAATAGCGCCAAAACAATGCCTTGAGACCCCACCGAGGCGGCGGCAGAAAGGTGAACTAAAGTGCGCAGTCGAAGCGTGACAACAATGGGCTCCTTGTCTGGCGATTGGTTCAAACGATAGACGCGCTCTTGGTTTCAATTTCGGTGGTGAGATGTGATGAAAAATGTTTATTTGAACGTTGGATAATCTTTTGAAGTTGTAGTTGGGAATTAATAGGTTTCATACCGTGTATAAAAGCATAATCTGAAGCGATCCCTCCATTTGTCACTCGTTGAACGCATCCCGCACTGCTACCTCGGGCGCGTAACAAGCATCGAGCAACCATGGACAAAAAAAAAAAGAAAAAGGTATGAGCGCCGGGGAGCGGCGGACTTTTGGTTTTGGTTTCATGCGTAGTCTTGTGTTCACTTTGCGAACTGGTGTCTCGCCAATCATGCCGTGTTTATGTGCAGTAGTAGGTTGCGCGAAAGGTCGGCTAAAGACGTGCGGTCGATCGGGCAACGTTAGTTTGCATTAACTGCCGACTGATGCAGCAATGCGCAGCATTTGGTTGCGCGCCGTCGTCTTGCGTAGAGCTGTGGACAGCGGTGTCAGGATTTGTTCGTTGCATTTCCGACCAGGAGACTTGGAGCAGCACCTTCACGTCTGCCGGAGTCTGGGTAAAAGTGGGGCGGGGAGTCGCTCTGAGGCGGCGACCGAGGAGTTGGTGGTAAGTCTGGGGCGCCCTCGTAAAGCGCCAATCCACAGTTCTGCGTCCTTAGCGCATCTCCCGTTCAGTCGGCGTGAGGTCGCTGAACGGGAGCTCAAACTCGTTTGCGAGCGCGGCGTTGTCGTCCATTTCTTCCAGGTTTTCTTCACAGACCGCCGTGCACTAGAGCGAACCACGGGAACCACACTGAGTGTGCACTAAATCCTACCGATGCCGACAGTGCTCCCTGACGTCACTTCTCTTTCCAGAGGCGAAAAAGGGAAGAAATCTGAATGTTTGTTTCGGTTTCGCAAATTTATTTGCAGGTACAGAAATAAGAGTCACCACGTTCTAGAAAACATTGTGTGGCATGCCAGGACCCCAAATGCTTCCGAAAACACCTTTTTTAAAAAAATTAAATTGCCTTCATGGTCTCTTTAAAAGTGACACAGCACTTCAGCAGCGTTCGAATCAGAGTTCTCGGCACAACTTTTTAAGATTAGAGGTCAAAATCCAGTAAGACCAAAGAAAGTTGACCTGTAATAGTACTGAACATAATTTCCGAGCTAATAGACCGATCTCACTAAAGGTTTGGCGCATGCATGATGCCGCCATTATTTTAGTTTATGGGAGACAGACGGCCGTGCATGCGAGGGCTCATGCTCCACACGTGCAGCGCTTTAGCAAGGTAGTTGCACGTGCAGAAAGAAAGTTCCCTTGCTGCATTGTGGCAGCAAGGGAACTAACCCATGCACTCCCCAGATCAGCCGCTGCTCCTAGCACTCCAGTGCAAAGCGGTGAAGCTCAACGTGCGTGTACTGGTGTAAGGCCGTGAAGGCTGATGCGAGCAGCGCAAGTGCGATGGTGCATTGTAGCCACACCATAGAGGCGTGTGGCAGACATAATGATAGTCTCAAGAACTGCCACCTGCCTCCCATAAACTGAAGTTATGGCGGCGTCACGCATCTGCCGAACACTCGGTCAGGTCGGTCTATTTGACGCAAATGGCGCGGCACTTCCATCACGGCCCGTCATTCGTGTGGAATGCGACTCCCCCTTCATCGTTCCCTCCCTTACCTGGTAGAGGGATCCCATGGTGGCGCTTGTCGGGGGAATGACGTTGTTGACAATAAAGAACAGGGCATCCTCGGGCCGCAGGTGGATCCTCTTGCGGATGAGGAAGTAGAACTGGCCCACCGTCAAGTCAGAGGGCACCAGGTACTTCTTTTTGTCCAGGTCCTCAATGCGGGCCTTGGGGGCCTTCTCCACAATCACCTACACAAACAGGGGATCTCAGTTCCTCCTTCCCACAGGCTCAGAAGGGAAGCGAGCAAGTCACAGTTCCCTGCCCGTTTTGGAAAAACTCCTCCAAAGGGGTCATGAAAAAAAATGTACCTGTCGAATTTTAATTTTCTTATATATATTCAACCAGAAAGATGTTGATTCCCAAGTATTACGGCAAAATAGAGTCTATGTTTTATAAACCATATTTAAAATCATGTTTTTTGGACTGTCTGGAAAAACCATGCGACACGCTTTGGCAGCATTAGCAACAGAACGTCACGGTAGCTATATAAAACAATTGAATAGATGTTCAACTTTACTTAAAGAAGCTGTGCAACAATTTCAGGGATTTTCTTAAATAATTGTAGAAGTTGATGCCTGACACTTCTGAAGTGAACTAAAGAAAACAGATTTTGCCTGGATGCCCTAGTTTTTATTTCAAGAAATGAAAAAGATCCATGTTTTTGCTACCTCTCAACTTGTACATCGTCTTCCGGGTCACGTGCGCAGTGACATTGATCGGGTGGGCGCGGGGTTCCAGTAAAGTTCTCTCTCTACAGCCATCAGTGAGCAGCGAGAACTCATCCGCTCGCGACCACGTGCTGGCGGGAACAGCGTGAATAATATGGCGAAAGGAGGAAAGTCTCATCTGGGTCCGGCCATACGCGTCTGGCTTGTGCCGGCTGTTCGCGGTAGCAGAGAGAGCTGGCGGTTTCGTGGACCTAGGATAGATGGCGCCAGTAAAACTCCGTATAATAAGAGTTTTGTCGATGATTACCAGGTTTTTGACTCATTTATATTTATGTTGGAACAACAAGATTTATAGAACAGTTACCTTTTATCGAGCAGGTATTCGCACAACTTGCTATCTTTCTACAAGACTCCCCAATGACGTCACGCCGCATGTTTCTCACGGCCGCTGCTCTCGGCTGCAGGCCGGGGAATATTCAAATTTTTGCCTCGCGATTACACGGTGGAATCGCAACATTTTGATGGAAGGAGGTGTGTTTTCTGTTCTTTGCGACAAGATGAACAATGTCAAAAGTAGAAGATGCCATTTCTTTCAACGTTAAAATCGTTGCACAGCTCCTTTAATCTTCAAATAGTAAATTGGGAGTGATAAAAATATGGAGTAATTGATCAGTTTTCTTCATAGTTGTATGCTTCTACATTGCATGATTGTGATAGTTTCAAACACATTGGGGTCTTCTGTCGATTGGTAACCATCCTAACCATGCTGTTTGTCCCGATTGTGGATTGGAATTATAATAAAACAAAGTGAAGCAATAAAAAAAAAATACAATTTTAAGGACTCGATTCTAGATCTTTGCGAAATCAGTGGCAAAAGGGGACGTGCGTGACCTCTTTACTATCAGCTTCCGTAAAGAGAAGCCTTGAGACTAGGAAGAGAAGAAACAAGGACAACACCGTCGTGAAAGTCTAAGCATTCAACCACAGATTTAAAGGCAGCTTGTTCAGTTTATTTTCATACGAGTTATCTTAGGACACTGCAATTCTCCCAAACCGGCATTACGGTCGCGAGTTTTCCATTAATTTTCCTTTACCACATTCTACCTCAGCAGTAATTTGACATGCCACTCCTAAAATACTCAAAGGCAGTTCACTTTTTTTTTTTTTTTCTTTCTGTGAGCTTATTAACAATTTTTTGGTCGAAGCGAGAATGTATTTACAGCTCTTCATATGACGATTGTATCAGGACTTGGCTCAACCGACCGAAGCGGCAAATGATTCCTCAAACTCTCCCCTGAAGCATGACATACAGTAGCGCAGACATTCAGTGTAGGCATATGGCTCAAATTCTAAAAGCCAACCGCGGTATAGTAGATGAGGCTAGAGTTCAATGGAATTAGGCTTCTTACAATTATCTGAGTGTAATATCCGACCCCTTGACTTGTGCGCGTGACGTTGTTATGGCGCCACTTTTGGAGTGATATCCGATGCTTTGGCTTTGCCTATGAAGTCCGTTCTATGTTGCCATATTGCACAGACAACAAATATTTCCTATTGTTTACCCACAGTGACATATTTAGAGAACCGAGAGGGAAGCTGTCCGGGAAACTGAAATTTCTTTTTTACGCCAGTTAAATGGTTCCGGATAATCAAACGAATGAAGGGGGGTAACAGACAAGGATTCCAAATAGACATATAGCTCAGAATCTAGAAAAAAATGTTTCACGACCTCTTTAAATGAATGAGTGCCAGCAGCCGTGCAGTTTCAGCTGCACTCATCGACAAGAGTCAATGGAACATGACGACCCTTACACCATGTCTAAACAGCCCAGCAGCAAGGCTGAAATACTTATGACGCACGCTCCACCTGCCACTTGACCTGTGGCCCGTTCTGAAAACCGCTATCGCAACCAACCAGTCAACAGTTGCAAATCAACAATAGATAGTTTGCATGACTGACGTAAGCTATCTTGCGCTTCAAAACATAGCAAACAAACACACAGTATACATGCACCACAAGTGGTCAATCACTTGTCTATCAGACACATGATGCTTAATCATTATGACACCTAGGTTTAATTTAAAGATGTGATGTTTATCTTGAAAAGTAGGGCTGCACAATTAATTTGGTTTAGTCCTAGGCCAATTTGAAAGACATGTTGAATTCTTATGAATAACTATCAACATTATTAAATAGGAACCCAAGACTAAGGTAAAATAAGTGTCAGTCTTCCCTTACTTTAAGCTCGTTTGTGCATTTACTTTTTATTCGACAAAGTAGACACAAACTTCTTTTTTTTATGTTAACTAAGCATTTTAAGTCATTCTCCTATGTGGCCCAGCCCACCTTGGAGATTCTCCATCACTAAAGATGGTAAGTAATAAAAAAAAAAAAAAAATGTTGCATCATTAGAACAAGGTGCACTGGCCATTACTCAAACATGATTCGGTAAAAGTCTGCTTAGTATCCAAAATGCAGCATTTCTCTTAAAGGGAGGGGCCCTGCTAGGACTTTTTTACTCATATTTTATTTGCACTGAACCTGAGTGCTCTGAACGTAGTAACTTAATGAAACTCTTCTTTTCTCTAATTTCGCTTTATTTTTAAAGTTATAGACAAATTAAAATTACAAAAACCAGCAAAAAATAACCGTCCTTCACGTTGTCCTTGGTTGCTTGAGTGGCCGTGAACTAGAGGAGGGGTAGTGAGCTTAGCGAGCGCTCACGGCTGCCGCACTCCATGTCGACGGCGCGAGAGGGCGCCATTAAAGCACGTTCTGGATAGGCTCTATGCAGCGGGCAGCCAGAGCGGCTCTCATTGCATTTGCTGCGCGATCAAAGACTAATTCGGCATGACACTTCATTGGCCACAAACGACAGCAAACACGGGGTAAAGATCAGTTCAGAATGGGAGCTACTTTGCGCTGCCATACCGCAAAACGGCCAAACCGCCAGACAAAGCTTCTCGCCGAAGGCCTTCAGAACGCTCGGAGCCGGTCGGATCCTCCTGTCCGTACAACCGCAGCGCCGCCGCATACATCCGGGACCTTTCCGTGTCGGCACCTGATCCCACTACTCCTTTCTAGTATGCACCCCGCCTTTTCCACCGCTTGGTGGCGGGTATGTCGACGAGTCATTTCTTGTTTCCGTACTATAAACTGCATTCGTTTCTTTTCTGATCTAAAATGCTGAACAAAAAAAACTTTTTATAAATAATTGAAACATTTTGTGCCACTTATATTTTGCATTTTGACTAAAAGGAAGTTTTTAGCGGCTCTGACCAGTAGTAAGCCCAGGACCAAAGACGTCACATTTTGTGCGCTTTCAGTACCGCGGGTTGCCCTCGTCGGTGGAGGAGGTTTCTGCGTTGTCCAGTTAAAACTATGATGCACTGATATTTAGTTACTCTCTCTGTGCCCGCTGGCTTGCCCGAACCCCAAAAGACGTGGAAACCGCAAAAAAGATAAGACGCTTAAATATGATTGCAGGGCCCCTTTAAAGGGGTACTCTGCCGATTTCGTCATGGGCCCCGATTTGCTTGAAATTTTGCTACTTGCCAAACAACATCGCCAAAATAGTATCCCAAATATTAGGTCAAAATAATTTTTTTTCACAAAGTTATTGAATTTACAATTTTGGTCCTCACCGTGTTTTTCAAACTGAAAGTCTCTACTGGCAACAATGAAAAAGTGACGTCAGTGGAAGTGCAGGGGTTCACTCTTTGGACTGTAGAATTTGTTCCCAACTGATTCGAAGCAGTTTCATGGTGTCGAATGAATGCTTTGAAAGCTTGCTCCAGTCCCCGCGCTCCAGCACGGAACAAATTATTGGCATATTCTGTTTTTTAGACTGCTCGCCTGACTGGCAAGCTTACCTTCCACTGACATCACGGCACTGAAAAGGGCGGGTATATTTGAATGTTGGTTTTTGCGTCATTTTCATTTGCCGATTTCGCAATAACTATTATGAATTTCACGATATTAAATAGCATACCAGAAAGGGTAAAGGCCGGGGAGTCAGAAAATATAGTTAGTTGAGGTAGCTCAAAAATCGGCGAAGTACCCCTTTAAAACTATCAAACAGGGACAAAGCAGCTCCTCCTCAACTTTTGTAAACACCTCAAATGAGCACAAAAAGTTAAGACGCCCTTGAACTAAAACAAAATATTGAATAGAAAGAATATGCACAGTGCCCCTCAAACTTAACGCCGCCACTCAGTTTCGCAAATATTGATCTATTGCATGCTACCCAAAGATAAATGATCGCTGCAGCTGCTAGAATACCTTCCTCTGGATGGGTTTTCTTTGGCGACACAAATCTTCACCAAATATTTCAACCGCTAGGTTCAGGAATAGCTCAAAAAGTGAAGAAACCGGACCATCTTGTGGAGGCATTAAGTTTGAGGCACACTGTATAACTATTAGCAAATCCAAGGAAAATGGACGAAAATGGAACGAGGAACAGTAAGCAGCTATGCAAGTGAAAACTTCCAATAAAACAATGGGATAGCAGCGCCCCACTGTGCTGTTATCTTTTATTGCATTTTCATTCTTATCAACAGCTCTATCCTACATTCCCTTTTGAATTGTTTCGGGGTTCATCCAGGAAACCTGGGAACTCTATGAGCGATAAGAGATTTTGTCCAGGTCACGTGTACCCCCCCCCCACCGTAAGCTACCCACAACTCTCTACACCAACCACCACTTAATTAACCACCCTGCATTGTGGAATTATAAACCCTATCAGCATGGTGTGGTCTATTGCCTTTTTTTCTTTTTCACATGAATTTGGAGTTAAAATTTATTTATCCCACTACTATCACAAACAAGCAGGGAGGCAGTTAATCCCAGAATTTGCTTAAAACTAACATTCGAGCAGTTTTTGAGCAATATAAGACAATGGATCTACCTAAAGATATTCCAAGGACCTGCTAAATTTTTTTTATTATTATTATTCAAGGACAAATTTAATAATGACGTTTCTAAAGCCTAGCTATAAATGCCCTTTGTTTTAATAACGTGTTGTCATCCCAAGCTTCAAAACTGCTAAGGAAACCGGTTGTTGTGGCTTTCCTTTGCACTGTGAAGGCCATTAATGACGCAATGCTCTATTATTTGCACACCTTTAGTCATAAGCAATCTTTCGGATAGCTTCTGCAGAACGGAAGCACCGTGATCAACGTTTATTATTCTTCTTCTTCTTGTTTAACCAGGACGACACACGCACAATGACGCTTTTTTTCTTTTTTTGGGAGTGAAGAAACGTACACCAAAGGCAAGCCTGCTCGCAGTGCGCATCGAAGAGATTACAAATAACTTTGCTTGCTGTCAAGGAAGCTCTCGTGTCGCGTTTCCTGAATATATGCTTGTGATGACGCAACCGTTGCGCGCTCGGGCGTTTCGTTCGTGGCAATCTTACGGTTGCTTCCGTCAAAAGTCCCGAGTCTATGCACTCGCGAACCACGCAAGCAGGTTTTTTTCTTTTGTTTGTTTTTGTACCATCTTTTTTTAACGAAAATAATAATAATCATAATAAGACACCAGATGCGATTTAAGGCATACAAGAAGAGCCACCAGAGAAAAGAATGGACAACAAAAATTTGTAAAATTGGGCATGCAAACCAAAGCTATGCACCGACTAGAAAGAAACTCGTACCAACTTGAGAGGAAAATTTAACGAGCAAACCTAGTACCAACCCCGTTGCGTATTTCTTGGACCTTGGATGGCCTTTCAGGAGCGAATAACATTACTGCCCGCAAACAATGCCAAAAGAGAAAGGAGGCGAGCTTTCAACCTCGCAGCTGTGACTCAAAACGATGGCCGCTCATGAGACAGCGAAACTCGGAGCGCGACAGCAAATTCGTAGATGGCTGCAAACGAACGCGCGATTTTTCCTTCCGGATTTTCCCTAAACGCAGCTTTATCCCAGCGTCTCGGACTCACCTGAGCATCAGGTGCAATCAACTGATCGCGCGGCAGATTGGCGTAGGCCTAATAGAAGCCGAGCCAGGGTTAGCAAAGCATCACCAACAAGGTCACTGCGCACTTAAGACGTTCCTAGACTTACCGGGACTCTGTCTGGGTACTTCCTGCGAATCTTGTCGCCTTCACCCCTCCTCTTCTCGAACGGGTGCTCCTCCTTGTACTGAAACTTCATTGCGCTTCAATACATGCGCGGCCACAGCCAGATAAATTTAAAATCTCGCGAGCTCTTCCACTCCACACGCCAACCGATCGAAAATGGCGACTGTTTGTAAATAGTTCTCGTTCTGGGCGTCGCAATGCGCACACGCGATACGAAAAATAGTTCACAATTCCTACTTTATTTACTGAAGCTAATAAACGCTTTAAGTGTTTGTTTTCCTTTTATAAACCAAAAGTGTATTATGTTTTGCTATTTTATACAGGTTACACACGCGATACCTACTGCAGCACAATTAAGGTTCAGTTGCGAGCAGCCGATTCGCGGAAGGATACAAACGCGCAAATGTTCGGCGGGTGATGTCATTTATGTCACGTGCCGCCAGTGACGCTCGCTTGGCCCGCTCTGACGTCTAATGACGAAATTAAATGGCAACTGGTCCAGCTGCTGGCATGGGCAAGGCATGTAGGCTGACTAACCGCAAGCAACATGTCATAGTGTAAATCTTTTATCGATTAATCCCAAAGAAATGGGAGATTTAAACAGACAGTTGAAGGACTACTTGAACCGTAATGAAGTTAAAAAAGAGGCGAAGCTGTTTCCGGGCAGCGAGTCTCTCAAAAAGCTACTAGGCGCAGGCGGCAACACCGACTCTTTAGCCGACAATGCCGGTAGCAAAAGTTGGTTCGCCGAAGCGGAGAATGATTCCTGTCTTCCCACTCTGGTATGTTCATCATTCGTCCCTCGACCTTCACGGAAAAATATAAATTCATAGTTGCATGGGGCGGCGTCTAACCTCGAACCTAAACTAACTAGAAAAAGGTGCACCGTGTTCATGAAATTCTCGCAAAATCACAACTTGATCAGTGTGTAGTACACGTTGAATAAAGGTCGAAACAGTTGTGGCTATATTTTCACTTGACATTTTGCAGTCCAAGAAGCAACGAATCTTGGGCTTCATGGGCTTCATCCTGATGGGGTTTTTCTGCCTCTTCATGGTATGTGTTAGGACCGCTATGAGTGCTATTCTCGTCTAGCAGTCCTGAATGCAGGGATTATTTTCAGGCTGGACTGTACGTTCCTGTACTCGTACTCAAGGCGAGGAAGTTCGCTCTGCTCTACACAATGGGGAGTCTTTTTATAATCAGCAGGTGAGAGACCATTGAATACATGCTGCAACACGTATGCGTGGCACCTCGTTCGTTCTGTTCCGTTGTGGGAACTTTTGTAACAACCGACCTACCGACGGTCTGCAAAAGCTGGATGGGCTATGTGACATGGTCGTGTCGAGGCCTGAAAAGGAAGAAAGCGAAAGCAAGAATCAATTTGAAAACTATATCATGCAGCCAGATAGTGTGCTGGGTTATTTTTCCGTCGAGCAGTTGAGTAAGACCCCTGCGCCTTGGTGTTTGCCAACCTTTATTTAGCTTCTTTTTCAGCTGCCTCTCGTTCTTCGCTCCGATGAACAGCTGGGTTGCTATTTCTAGAGCACTGTATACTTTCAGGGTGTTCCAAACTAGCTTTTTCTTTTCCCTTTTTTTTTTTTTTTTTTTTTTTTTTGCCGCATCCAAGGAGCGTCATTTTTCGTTAGAAAGATATTGGTATATTTCAACTTGGAACTATACATGGCTTGCACTGATGTCACCTCATATACTTTTGACCACCATGCATGTAAGAGGAGGAGAGAGAAGCTGCTTTTGTAATAATATTGAGTGACGGGTTAATCTTCTATAATGTTCTGGGAGGAAAATAGCGACGTCTGAGCAAATCCGGGCGGCACAAAAGAGGATCCTGGTAAGAGGGCAGCTCCTTCTTCTCGGGTGGTCATCGGAGCGCTCTTTGAATGATGTCCCGTGCAAGCCATGTATACGTTTGGCAACTATCATAGTTCCAATTATGCTGCCTGAACTGATCAACAAAACAATGTAGGAAACAATAAATATTGCAAACATACAAACAATACATAAAACAGTTTGAGCAGCAAGATGACAAGCAATATATAAAACATTGAGTATTTACATATGTATGTGCAGGAATGTGAATGTCTCGTCCCAATATTACGACATACAACCTGTAAACTGAAAAAGTGGAAATCTACACAAGGTCCACGAGTGTAGTCCAGTCACTTTTAAGTCAAAATGGGAGTTATGAACCTACTTGCATGAGAAAACCGTCACGGCAAACTGTTACAATTACTCTGCTAAATTTAACGGGGGTACACATGTGACGTCAATTTCCCCACCAAATTTCTTTGGGATATCGTTGCAGTTTGAGCAGTGTTGTGCGACATCAGCTTCTGCAAGGTGGTAGTTTGCACTTACCATGTTCTGTGTCAGCATGATCAGGCTTGTGTGATTTTTCTTCCCAGCTTTGCCTTACTTTGGGGACCCATGAACCACTTAAGGCACCTGTTTTCCAAAGACCGCCTCCCTTTCACGCTGGTCTACTTTGGCACCACATTTGCTACACTCTATTTCGCCCTGGTGGTAAGTGCCAGAATCGTTTCACATTCCACGGAACTACCGTAAAATACAGAGCATCCGCCCATTCTACGATAAGCGACCACCCCTCAATTTTGTAACATTTGAAAAGTATGCAAAGGACATACCTCTACATATTGTTGACCTGAGGAGTGTCCATCGCCCAGTTTTACTTGAGTATCTTCAAATTTTGAGTGGGCCCTTGCTCAGAATTTTACGATAATCAAAATAGAACTGGGAAGCTCTGTTCCACTGTGCTGTAGCAGAATGGCACAATGCTGCTGTCTTTCTATGCTTTTCTAGGTATTAATTTCTTTTTTAGAAAGTTTTTAAAAAGCAAAGCAACTTGTTGTCTTCCTGTACCATACACATTGCTTTAGTGCATTGTAAAGCCATACTTCCAGTAATTAATGGACACAGCATTTTGTTATGACAAGATTTGTGGTGCTTAGAACTGCTGTTAGAGCTAACACAAAGGAATTTTAAAAATTGTGGAAGACAGCACCATGCATTGTACACTCTTCCTATGTCACCAAGAGGGGAAAATACTAGGCAAATTAGAGAATTGACATCGTGTTTGGGGGAAAAAAAAATTGCAATTCAGAGAAATTTATGGAAACAGGATGATGCTGATGCCTGTGTAACATTGTACCGTCAGCAACATTATTTTCGTGGGCTCTATATTTTGCAGTGTTTGTTTTCTGAACATTTCATGAGGACAAAATTTCATGATTCGGAGTGGTATGCTGCGTATTCATTACCATGAGGTGATATATTTGTCTGATAAATGTTTCTTTTCAAGTTACAAAATTTGCACAAATTAAGTTGTTTACAGTATGCTTTTCTCCTAAAAAATCTTTCTGAAACATTCTTTGCCTCATGTTTGTTCTCCAGATGTGTACTCAGAGCTTTTTAGTACAGCAGCAATTCTATCAATCATCCGAGAATCATAAAAACATCATCAAAATTCATAGCCAGTGTAGGCTATGAACTTTGCTGTTCAACACTAAAATTCCAAAAAGGCACCGATGTCATGTTCACGCTATAGACCAACTCATGTTTACAAACAATCCGGAGCGCCCCTAGCGGACTCCACCGATGCCGCGCGTACACGATGGAGTGTGGGCAAGAAGCTCGCAGTCGCCCATAAACAAACCATCGGAAGTCGATGATGTCAGAGGCAGATCCAAGAGGGGGGGCGACGGGGGAGCCCCCCCCACCCCCCCTTGGAGGGCAATTTGACATGGGTGGACCTTCCGGTGCACAAGAAAGATTGGGAGAATAGTATCATTACAAATTCCTTCCCCATCCCCTGCCCCGCCCAAAACGGAGTTTTGGTCCGCCTCTGGATGTTGTTGGCACCGGTGCGAATCCTTGTGCTCTTTTTCGCGTTGGAATTCTTGATTCTACCTAACAATGTCTGACTACCTAAGCAGCTTCAGCAAAATTAACAAGGCTTGTTGCACCGCAAAACTTTAAGTGAATAATACGACGTGCGGCAATCATTCCGCGTGGACGCTGCAGAATGGGCACTAAAGCCTGACTCGCACAATGAGAATCTGCTCGCTATTTTTTGTCGCGACGTCGTTCGGGCTGCAAAAGTGTGGGCTGTAGCTGAGGTGGTCAACGTCGATGCTGAAAATCGCAAGCATAATCGGTCATTACAAGTTGGTGATGGCCACTGGTAACAATGATCAATATCCCCTTTTATCTACTGTTTACAGTGAGCCTACTAAATCTTGAGGCCTGCACTTACATCTTGTTGCAATTACCGGGCGAACGTTTGGTATACGGGCCGCTCTTGTTCGAACGAGCAGCCAACGAAAAGCAGACAAGTTTGAAAGAGCAGACGACAGTTCGAACGCATGCGCAGTGGAGTGTGGGCGAGAAGTCCCGCGTCAACAAACCATTGTAACGTCAAATCGTCGGCATCTGTGCGAGTCTCCGTACTCTTTTTCACAATGGAATTGTCGATTCTACGTTCTCATAGCAATGTCTTACCACTTTAGTCACCTGAGCAAAATTATCAAGGCTCGTTACGCTGCATAACTTTGCGTAAACAATTTGATGTGTGGCGATTCGTTCCCGTGAACACTGCAGAATGGACGTCAAAACCATGACAAGATTCTTCTCGCTACTTTTGGTCGCACCGTCGCTCGTGCTGCAAAAGTGCAGATGGTAGCGGCGATGATCGACATTGACACTGAAAATCGGAAGCGGAAACAGACCAAGTGAATCAGGCGTAACAAGTCGGTGATGGCCACTGGTAGCAGTTATCAACGTCTTATAGCTACTGTTTACAATGAGCCTACTTAAAAGCTTTTTGAGGCCTGCAATTACTTCTTATTGCAATCACTCGGTCAACGTTTGGTCTATGGGCCACTTTTGTTTGAACGAGCAAACAACAAAAAGCAGACGAGTTTGAAAGAGCAGACGTTCATGTTGGAACAAAACAAATAAATATGACGACCACAAGTATCCGTGAATTCAACCCAAAGTGTTTCCCACACAAGCAATCGTAGTTCGACAGCTTCTGGTTTGCTCTTTTCACTGTTATCCACGTTCTCGGACGAACGGAGGAGGAAACAAACACATAAAAACTGATCTTCAAACGTTTCCCGACTCTTCGGGTACAGTCCCCGTCACAGCGTTTTGACGAGAGGGCAGGTTTTTGTCTGGTCTCTTAAAAAAAAAATAAAAAAAAATGCATGTCTCGCACGGTGACTTCCGCCCACCGCCCGAAACCGGAAGTGCACCCGATACACCACCACCGCGGCGTGACTTAACAAGAGTTTACTCCGGTCACCCGTAAGTTAGCAGTGCGGTGGAAGCTATGTGCTCTTTGGACCAGTCATATGTCTATCTTCCACGGCGGTACATTTACACTACTAGTTTACAAAACAGCTTAAACATATTGTAAAGCTATACGTTGCAGTCACTCAGTTTTGAAAATAGAAAGCAATCACAGAAAATTTAATATTCAGTTATATCACCCATCTGTGGGCCCTATGACTAGTAAACAATCATCAAGGTAAGTATGCAAAATAGTAAGTTAGCTAGATACGTAGCATTGTTTATGGTTTTTAGATTTGTCTGGTATGGAAGCAAAAACCAAAGTAAGAACTGTCTGAAAGTGCTGCAAACTATGAACGGCCCCTGAAAATAATGCGGAGGGCAAGTTCGTCTGCTTCTTGCGCAGGGGGTAGCGGTGACGTCAGAACGCCGAGCCCTGATTGGCTGATCGTGTCCCCCTATCTGAGCGTCGTCTGCTCCTTTGCAACGTCGTCTGCGTCTGTCTTACCTTTCCTGCAACTTTCGTAAGTGCAGAGGCCAGATTCACGAAACGATCTTACGCCAAAAATGTGCATAAGACAAAACTTAAGAACAAATTCGTATTCACGGAACGAAATTTTTGCAAGTTTTGCACAGGTTACAACGAAATCCTACGACAGCTCCGAAGCTGTCTTACGCACTTCTTACGAACAAATCAGCATGGCCGACAGCGTCGCGGTCGCAACGACCCACGGGCGTTTATTTTTCTAAGTACGCTTCACACGCGTCCCGACTTCAAGCAGCAAGAAAAAAGTCAAAAGTACTTGAAACAGACCACGACGAACAAGAACGCTGGATCCACAAACACCCGGGAAAAGCTCCAACGGCCACGATTCCACCAAATCTGACCAAGCGAGCGCGGCAGTTAGGCCTAGCAGGCACTCCGCGACTCGGCGATCGTCTGCCCACGACCGGCTGGTGTGCTGAATGGAATATGCCCGCGCGACCCTTGTGAACCCTTCTTGTATTATACTTTGATCGCTGACCTCTATTTTAGATTAAGAGGTCAATTTCTTTCTCTTGTTATCTCCTTGTTTCTCGAGGCAACGGTGACTCTTGCCGGTGAAAAAGCGGTGAATCTCCGGCAGACGCAAGAAAGGTAAAGCAGCCGTCGCTTTGACTAGCAGACGTAAAGCAGACAACGTTAACTGCACCAACCCGCCGACGCCGCTAAAGAATGAGGGGTCTCGCCGCCAGGGTTCGTACAGAATATTTGACTGAAAATTCAAGGAGTTTTCAAGGATGAAAAATGGCAAAATTCAAGGAGTGTCAGCAAAATTTTATTTGCTTACAAGACTTATGGAAGCAGCGCAGTTTTCGCATGGATTTCTTTTTCCACAGAAGCTATCTCCAGCTCCTTTTCTTTAGCAGTTCGACGAAAGCTGTTTGCCTTCACTAACTAGGTAAGGTCGTTTTTCGCTTCAGCTTCTTCCGAAAAACGGTCCGCAGATTCCAGCAGGCACTTGAGAGTTTTTTTGAAGCTTTGACTTCCTTCCGTGCATCTTATCAAGCTCTTGCTCGAGCTCTTTTCTCTTTGAAGCTGCCTGCCGTGACAGTGCTTGTTTCTTTTGTTCGTCTCGGTATGCAGCGTACCTATGCCGTGCTTGGCGCACTGACGCCTTCAACTCTTTTGAAATCGGAACGTTCAGCAGGCCACCATGGCTTTTCACAGCCTCGCAGATAACTCGTTGAGAAATATACGACAGCTCTGCCAAATTCTCAACCGCAACCTGCTTGTTGATGCTGAAGCCTGTTTCCACTGAGGCCTGCCCATGGCTCAGGAGGAGAAGTAGTTTCACCACAGCCCATAACTGCGAGAATGAAGCATCGTGCTTCAGCAGCCGCACGAAAAAACTGTCAAGACGTTCATGATCTTTTTCATAGTTTTGTAGTTCATGCCGTTTTTCTAGACAAAAGTGAATGTACTGTGTGCACACAATGTCACGTTTGTGCTCAGAGAGAAGCTTGTTGTCGATTAGGCAGTTAAGCACAATTTTTAGCTTCCCAAGGCACGTGTCTGTCTTGGACATCTCTGTGGGGTCGAAACATGACAACCCACGAACGACAGAGTACCTCAGGGGACTTCTCTCCGTGACTTTCAGGATCATGTTCACAAGGAACTTCCGGCACTCGTACCTAAACTCAAGAATACACTTGGCGCTCGCTTTGCAGCATTTCAAATTCTTCTCAGCTGCACGTCCAACATCCACCTTTTCAAGTTCTGTGTAAACGGCAGCATCTTCAACCTCAATTCGCAGCAGCTTCGTGATGCTGGTGGCTTCTGTCATTACAGAGCACTTTACGAACCTTGACAGAAGGCTCCTCAGAACACTTTCAAGTTCTTTGCCAGCAAAAACGTCTTGGGAGAATCATTCTGAAAAACAGTCAGGAAAAACTGCACAACCATGGCAACATTCAGGGAAAAGTTCAATTTTGCAAGTGCAAGCTGGTCATTTAGAGAAGCACTGACGTTTTCATATGCTCTGCATTTTGGCACGGGCAGCCTGCGGCCACTCACTGCTTCAGTGTATTGCTTCAAGTGCTCCCATGTGGCCAGGGCTCTTTCCAGTACGGGCACGTTCTCGATCCAACGGTGAGATACAAAAGGAAGTGGAAACACACTGCTCCCTGTCTCTCGAATAAAATCTTCTCGCCTGGCCGGTGCATCATGAAAGAGTGAGAATAAGCTGGACAAATATGTGTCAACTGGCCATCCCATTGCATGCATTCCAGCTTTGTAGGCATTATGCACTGTGTGAAGGCCACACGATCCACTATACAAACACTGAACTTGAAAGTCATTTTTCATGTGCTGCTGGAACTTGTGGAGAAGGCTCCAGTTGACATTGGGGCCATCCATGGAAAGCTGAACAATTTTGCTCATCGTAAAGGACGCCAGCGCTTTCGTTAAATTCTTCATGAGGTCGTCCGCTGTGCTGTGGCCCATGAATGCCGATGTCACATACCTTGTTGTCACCTCAGAATTGTTCCACAGTCTCACGTGAACATCAAGCTGTTCCTTTTGCAGGTATTCGTTTAACGTTTCATCAAAAAGGACTACAAAATGTTCAGATTTCTCCATCATGTCCAAGACTTGAGAAGCGAAAAATGGGCGCAGACCATGGCACGCGACATACGCGCATTTTTTTTCCGAACAAGTGAAGCTTCTCGCGATATCGCTATTCGGAAACATCTTTCGGAACAACTCGGAAACTGATCCGCTGGAGCTGTATGAGTAGTGTGAAGACACAACTTTCATCGTCCTCAAAATTTCGGCTTCAATCACGCAATCATGCCTTCTGCAGTCTTCGTCAAGGGTCGCAGCTCGAGAGGATGTTTCCGTGTTTTCCCGCTGAGAAGTCGTTTCTGTGACTTTTGCCGCTTGCAAAAAACTCGTGACGGAAGAGCAGCCCTCGCCTGCCGCAACTTTCGGATCGGTGCTTGGCACTTTTCTGATGGCTCTTTAACGCCGACTCCCCCATTGTTGCAATGTCGACCGACTTCTGACATACTGCGCACTTCGCTCGATAAGGGTCGCTTGTCTCCGGCCTCACCCAGTGACGATATTCGCTGTGCTCCAGCCACGCAGACTGAAACTTGCACTTTCTGCCTGGCATCCTGTCAAAGTACTGTCAAAGTACTGTCAAAGTAAAGTTGCAGTCATTGCACACAGCACAAATGCGAACTTTCGCCGGTACGTCGTAACGGTCGGTCGACCGACCGACCGTTATTATAACTTGCGTTGGATTGGATTGGATTTCTGGCTCGCATTTGTTGCCAGACGACGCCGCAGGCGCTGCCAGTTTCGAAACCGAAACTTGCTGCTATTGCTCTCCTGTCAAGACTACATGTTTTCGCGAACATTCCTCAGTAAACGCGTTTTTGAAATCAGTGCGACTTACGGAAATACGTCGTTCATTTGCTATATTGAAGCAAAGTCCACTAAATTTTCAAGGATTACAAGGAGCTCACTTATATCTAAGGAGTTTCAAGGGCCCTTGAATTAATGTTATCAAATTCAAGGACATTCAAGGATTTCAAGGGTCTGTGCGAACCCTGCTTGCCGCACACCAAAGGAGGGAAAAAGTATTTGGGAGGGAACTTGCGGACGTACTAACACGCTCACTTTCGGTTCTTAGCAAACAAACCTTGGCGCCTCAGGACACCTCGCCAGTGAGTCCTTTGACTTCCCTCCTTGATGCGCGTCTGCTAGTTGTTAGACAAAAACAATGTACCGCTCGAGTTCTTTCGTCTGTCCTCTTTGAAAGGCGAAGTCGAGCTCGCTCGTAAAGTCCTGCACTTCCGAAAGTCGCAGGAAAGGTAAGACAGACACAGACGACGTTGCAAAGGAGCAGACGATGCTGGGTCGCGATCAGCCAATCAGGGCTCGGCATTCTGACGTCACCACTACTTCCTTTCTCATGCACCGAAGACGAAAATGAGACCATTTGCGAGGCGTATAGTTTTGACTTGGAGTGTGGCAAACTTTTGTCGGACCAGATTTTTAGGTCAAACTTTCAGGGTTCGACTGGTGCGAACCGGTTTGACAAACCTTTAACCAGATTCGACCGGTTCGACTTTGTGCACAGTGTGGCCAGACCTTGATACAGGCATGTCTAAGTTTGGAGGATTTTTTTTTTTTTTATGCAATGGGTTATTTTAATTTTATGAACAGTTGCAATTAAAAGAAGATAATTCTAATCACTGAAGACGTTAAGAACTTAATATTTTGTACTGTATTAACTGAAGTAACCGATCAGTGCTGCCCTTAATTCATCCCTTAGCCATCACCATCCAATCCGAAGCCAACTATCCAGCCTGCAACGCATGCGCATAGCAGTCGAACCAGAATCACACCCTTGTCATAGTTTTCAGAAGAAGTTTGAAAAAGTCGAACCTGCTGGAACTTGAACCTCGACCAGTTCGCGACACTCCTAGTTTTGACAGACCCTACAAGATGCAAGGTTGGGTGAGATTAATATTCCACTGAGCGATTGTACGGTGCATTTTTTCTGCCGAATATTACAGCTTCTCGAATCTCAAGAACAAAGTGATGTAAGGTTCCTTTGAGTATGTTTACTTTTTTTCCCTTCCCATTCTAGGCAAAAAGCACTCTTCCTACAGCAGTCTTTGCTCTCTGTCAAGCAGTCAGCCTTGTTTGGTAAGTCTGCACGCAGAAATAGCTAAAAATAGAGGTCAATACATTAAAAACAGCATACTGATTTAAGTGAGCGACGTAATTGTGTGCTTACCTGGTATTGCAACATTATCAGCTTCTGACTTTAATTAAACCAGAGTGCTTTTTAATGCGAAAGTATTAGCTGGGGGTCCCATGGAGTGAGCCAACGTCATCAGCCTGAAGCGCACCAAATGGCACCTTAAATCCTTTCTTCAAGTGAAGCCAGCTCCCAGATATGTAACCATGCGAAAAGCCTAGACAATGGCGCCTAGTTTTCTTGATCCCAAAGGAGCGGAGTAGAGATGGATTTCGGCTTCAATCCCATTGGCTGGCGCGTCGACGAGGCTCCCATTGGCCGCTGCGTGTCATTTTCAACGACTGCCACCCCATGGCGCTGCGTGTCCGCGAGGCAGCGGCTCCACGCCCAAAGTCAGCGCGCTCACTCGATTGTCAACGCAAGTATGAAGCAGACGACAGAAGGGAGCAGGAGAGTGGCATGCATGCTTTCGCATTTAAAAGTCATAAGAAATGCTTAAATAAACCTCAAGCTTTTTTTTTTTTTTCTTTTTTTTTTTCTAAATAATTGTTGCTTTTTTTTTAATTTTGCCAAATTTACACTGAAGATAAGTTGCTTCAGCTGGTTTCACATGTGCTCTTGAAAGTGTTGCGAGTTTAAATTCAGGCTGTAAGGTGTTTTTTATTTACGATTTTTAAAATTTTCATCAACAGGTTTGTTGTCAGCTACATTCCTGGTGGACAGACAGGCCTGCGTTTCTTTTCCAAAGTGTTCACCGGTGCAGTGACACGAACAGCGAGCAAGACGTTGCCAGTGTGAAGATGCTCACTGGTTCTGCAACTCTTCCCTACAAAGCATCGTCGGCAGACCGCTGTTTCCCGTTGCAAAGGCACATCGTCGGTTATGAGCTGGGGGCCACGGATAGCCAGTGTTTTCATTATGCCCGACTGCGCAACAGAAATATTTAGGGAGTCGACTACATTGCACAGAGATAGAACTTTACTGGAATGTAGTCCTCGCAGTCTCGCTCAGGCGCTAAAAGTTGAAGACTATACTTAGTTTCACCTTACGATGTCTGCAACGGAGGGTATGAGCTACTGCAGCCAATCCATTGATCGGAGCGTGTCGCATGACTTTGCACTCCTCGTGTTGTTTCATTCATCCGGAAGATTGTGTGACACCCTCCATCCAATCTATCGATTGTCTCTGGTGACTAAGGTGTTCGTTGGGGTCCACCATGACGTGAAACGGAGCATAGTGTGTGTATCAACTTATGAAAATAGTTCATGTGAAAGTGATGTCCAGGTGTTACAAGCGGAGGGGTGGCATCTGCTGCTGCTCTTTAAGAAGTAGTGTTCAGGTTTTGATCATACTTATGCTGTTGCATAGTTTTGTCTTTTAGGTATAAATTTCAGGTATATCTGCAACATTTGTTTCAGACTGCTGTACGAGTTGGATCGGTCATGCATGAAGTGCCTCCAGTGTCATTGAAGCATGTGCCCCATATTGCGCAGTGCAAATGATGTAGGCCATACTCGGGTAAACTATTCTCAAAGTGTAATTGAATTACTGTGCAAATAGTTGACTACAATTAACATTACATACTGTTAAAAGAAGTTTATGCGATAAGAGTTATTACTAAACTTTCCTTGGAGAGTTACCCAGCTTTCAGTGACGTCGTTTAGCCAGCATTTTTCCTTGATGTAATATACTAAATTCTTCGCTCCATTAGCATTTTACATTCGCCAGGTATTTTGCCTCTGGTTTACGAAGATTATTAATTGTGTGAGAGGATACCGAGTTCCAGGTATCACAGACATTAGTTTTATTATTTTGCAACATTAGTAAGACCCAAGAGCATTCTTTTTGTCACAGCAATTCAAAGTAAAAGCTACGTCCCTTGCACTGATGTATGAGCAAATGAGGCAGGCACCCTGCATTCCTTAAACCTATAAACAATGTTCTGTAGAAGTGAGCTTCTTTTGCAAAATTATTTCAAAAGTAGTTGTAATTACTGATAAAATTTTTATCAGATGTAATCAGTTACATTTAAAAATTACTTAATTTCTCCCTGAATTCTAGCATTCCAATCAATTAACTTTTTTTTTTGTGTGATTAGGTGTACTGCACTTGCTAAGTATAGTGCACCAGGCTGACTTTAAATTCTGCGGGGTTGGCTTTGTATATATTGTAAATAACATTTTTGTTTCCTTGTTACGATGTGTGCAGTGCACTGCCCTTGCCAAAGCAAGTCTTTGGGAAGCAAGCAAAAATAAAATTTTTTATGTCATTGACTTCTGTCTAACAGTATTTCTCAGTGCTCATTCCCTAATCCATAAGGCTGGAATTTCCGGTTGTCGATGGATGGCTGCTAACAGCTGCACCCTCATAATGGGTGGTAACTTGCACCACCTAGCCTAGAAACTAAAAACCAAAAGTATGACCTTTCCCCTCGCCCTTCTAAGCCAATTTGCTTCGCCTCTGCAATTTTTTAACTATCGCCAGGCGGTGTGAGATAGCACCAGGATGACCCTTGAGGGATCGGGCAAAAAAACTAAAAACATCACCCCTTGGCAAGGGAGTCGACAATTTTCCTCTGATCAAACTTGGATGACGTCGCCACAAGGGAGGAAGTCCCAATTTTCCTCTGTCCCACCTGTCCCCAGCCATGCTAGTTACTTGTATGTCATCCGATTCCCACTAGATAATTTCCACCAGTCTTCCAATCTCCTCTTTGTTATTAAAGTGCACTTATCATCCATCCTTCCATTCTAGTCTGCAAACCCCAGTGCTCGGACTAAAATCAGTCCTGTGCACCTCGACACCAGATGTACAAGTGTCTCGTCTTTCTCTTGGCATACAGCACACTGCGTATCCATTTCCTCATACTTTGTCGTATATGTCCTAGTCCTCAATACTCCTGTTGTAGAGCCCCCTGTGGATTATCATGCCAAAGTGCCTTCCTTATTTCGTCCCCTATACATAGGAAAATCTGATTTCCCCTGCATTTTTTCCTCCAATATTTTTCTCTCTTCTTTCACTTCCTTTCCACAGAGGTAGTCAGCTCTGCTCCAGTACTTGACTGTTGGTATTTGTACTTGTTTTCGGATTTGGTTTGTCCATTTAGTGTTCAGAACTTTCATATATAGATGCTTATATACCTTTCTTGCCCGTCATGTATCCTCCATTGTGTCTAGTCTTTGTTCAAATTTCAACTTGCTGATTGCACCTCTAGCTTCGAAAAATGCCCAGCCCACGTCTCCCTGCACGCCTTCATTTGGTGTATCTCCATGTTCCCCCAGTTCCAGCCTGCCCACGCTGCTCTGTTGGATCTCTAAACTCGACTGGACCCTAGATTTCATGCATAATACTGTGTGGCCCAAAGCCAGCACTGGCACTGAGATTCTTTTCCATATTCCCCTGACAACTTCATATCTATTATATTTCCATAGTGCCCTATGCTTCATAATTGCTGCATTCCTTTTTCCTTTCTTTAGCATATTTTCATCCTGTTGTTCTCAGTATTGTTTCCCCTCATTCAGCCATACTCCTAGATATTTATACTTGTCTACATGTTCTATTAAAATGTCTCGATTTTTCAGTGGATTCCTCTTCTCATCGTCATATACTATTATTTCTGACTTGTCGCTACTGAATTTCAGGCCCAGAGATATGACTATTATTTCTGACTTGTCGCTACTGAATTTCAGGCCCAGAGAGTCTCCGTCCTCTCCAGAGATCTTGATTAGCGCCTGTAACCTATCCCAGTTGTCTGCTAACAGCATAACGTCAGCAACGTCAGCACTGAACATTCCTGGTATAACTTGGTTTACTTTTCCCCCTCTCTTCACATATGACACATGAAAACCTAAATTGCACTCTTATAATTTCTTTTCCATTCTACTCGGGTATATCATAAAAAAATGTGCGATAGCGAACAACCATGCCAGAGTCCTTTTTTTCTTATTGCTGTTGGTTGTTATTTGTGCTTCCCATGTTGTAACAGCCTTATTAGTGTATACCTGTTGCGAAAGCCTAATCAGATGTGTATCTTAATCATATACTCTCGGGTGTACCTATACTTTTTCCGGACTACTATGATTTCCACCAGGTTGCCACCGACGGACTACTCTGATCACTTTCAATAAAAAGTGTATGAACAAAAATATCCTAATTTTTATAATGAATGTACATACATTTCATTTGTTTGTGAAAATGTATGCCCTTTTCTCCACTGCACGCCTAATGTCGTCTTTTTTTTTTTTTTTTAAGATTTACAGTTCTGTTTAGAAAGAGCCGTCAAATATACACTTATGCAGTTTGTGCAGGTGAGTTATTCAGCCAGACGGACATAGTATGGGACTAATTGTAACGATCAGTCGACTAATTAAATAAAATTTGTTAATGAACTTTTGAATTTAAGAAAATAGACATGGTTCTAATTACAAACTTGCCAAGTGACTTCGAAAACCACTAAATCCGTAATTTTCAGAATGAGCTTGTGAGAAGTGCAATAGTGCACCAAGCTTCCACTAGTGCAGAAGGAGCAAGGCTGATGGTGAGATAAAGGGCACCATGCAATTTTCCCGTCTTACCATAGCCCCAGCCTCGTACCTGCTGGACGAGTGGTACCTTTAGCACACTACTACGCGTCCTACGTGCTCAAAGTATTCATAAAAATTTAGTGGCTTTGGATGACGCTCTGCAAGTTTCTAAATGGAACCACGTCTATCTGGCCATATAACGCACCTGCACAAACCACAGAAGTATAACTTTCACAGCTTTTTTTAAGCAAATCTGCAAAACTTAAAAACAAAAAAAAACCTGAATGTTGGTTTATGTTAACAAATTCTCTGACCCTTCTCTGGAGTTGCAAGAGCAAAGGCAGATCCATATTTATAGATTCATTAAATGGGATAAATAAGGCAAAAGGAGCAGGCTCATTTCCGCTGTCCTCTCCTATGGTCCGGTAACATTCATTAACTATAAGCCACTGCTTTATAGTAGATATATAAAAAAAAAGGCTTGATATGTTTGGAGAGGCGTTACTACAGGAAGACCTTTGGGAGGTATAAAAATATTGAGTGTGCACTTGTCTCTCCATTTCAAAACCACAAGTTCAGCAACAAATGAAACACACATAAATGTGTGTGTGTATGGTACCTACAACCTTGCATACTTTCCCTTTCAATGTGATGATCCCCTATAGAGTGGAAATCTTTAAGGGGGAACACTACCCCAAAAAGGTAATATTTGAACCACTCGTCCGATTTAAATGACATTTACAGGGCTTGTTTCTGTTAATGTTGAGAACATTTGTGCCAAATTTCGTTAACCTGGGTGAAGCACAAAACAAATTGCAAATGTTCAAAGATGAAAGTGGGTGTGTCTGTGTAAGAAAACTATTGTTTTGAAATTATTTATAAATTTGTCGTTTTCATGTTTTATATTGCTTCAGGACAGTTCAGAACAGGTAACTATGGAGCTATATTTTTATATTATACCATCTTTTATGACAAAAAAAAAACAAACAAAAAAAAACTAAGAACTACTACTGTTTTTTTTTTTTAATTTCTATTTTTTGTCCAAAATTTTAGTTTTTGAGCATAAAAATTTACAATAAAAAAAAATACAAGCTCATAGTTATCTTCCTTTTAAAATTTCACCCCAGAAGAACTCATAAAATGAATCCAAGCTACATAACAAAACAATAGTTTTCCTAGTGTGAAATTTATGCCAAAAAGTGGAACGGAGAAAGATGCATTCAAAGTGCTCCAACCTCTACCTTTTCTTTAGCATCGGTGGACCGAAAATAATTTATAAAGAATTCACTATACAGTGTAAACTAATGAAATTTCCTGGGAATACTCTCCAGATGTTGGTGGATGTAAATATAACATTTTTCAAAAACAACTTTTTTTTGCAGAAACAGATTTTTTTGGGTGGTGTCCCCCCTTAATGGGGTCTTTTGTTGGAAACCCTAGGACCTGAAAGGAAGCCTTCGTCAAATGAGTGAGTCTAAGGTCCCTAGACACCCATCCGAAGGAACAAATGGGCAACAGGAAAGGTGCAGCTCCTTGTATAATGTAACAAGGACCATTGTGGCCAAGTATTCAGTATAAAAATCTGACATCCCATCTTAAAAGAAACTTAAGTACAACAGAGAAATGCTGGCCTTCCAAGCAGAACATACCTTGGCACTGTGTACAGCAACATATCCCAGCAATTCTACGAAAATTGCACCTTTGGGCAAGCATGAAAACAACTTGCAAGGGTTATGTTTTAACCCAATGTTCTCATTTCAGTGATCTAGTCTAGAGAATCCAGTCCTATATAAATTAGTAGCAAAGTCACTTTTTGCCACCCCATTTGTGGACTGACCTTTAGAAACAAAGATCTCAAGTGGCTTTTTTAAAAACATTCACAGTAGAACCAGAGCTGCTTTTGCAGTCTCCTCTACAAAAATACCAGAACCTTGAGGGCCCTTGACCACACGTGCTGCTGCAGCTTTTTGCTTCGAAGCCTTTCTCCAAATGGTACAAGCTGGACAATATATTGTCCGGTTTGTAGCCTATGTTTAAGCACTGCCAAGTCATGTTTTGAGTGATTATGCGGGTGGTAGACACAATATGTAAATATCAAGTTTTATCTGTTCATAATTCATAGAATGGGATACACGAGGCACAAGTCTTGCGTAAACACAAGACTTTGCTACGACACGTTCTGGCTGTCCCTGCAGCCTGCACTTTACATCCTCTCCCTTCATTTTCTCATTTGGGACAAAGTGCTTTTTAGAAATAAATAAAAGGACTTTATGGAGTGCTACTGACTTTGATCTGTTCCTCTCCGTCGGTGGCAATCAGATCGTACAATGATGTTTCATTGACAGACCATTTCGTCGACATGCAACGTTTCATCGGCAATTAATTTCCACTCAGGCTTCCCGCATTCATTTGATAGACACACCTTAAATGCAATGTTTCATCGAACACAACCCTGCTGTTTTTGCAACAAATGTTTTGTGTCTCGCCTGGTCTACGGAGGTGAGAGAGGAGAGGGGCCCACGGCTTAGATAAATACGCCTCAGTCAATCACATGCTAGCCATGTGCGGCTTCCCCCCCCCCCCCGATTAGGTTATGCACTTAGCTACGAAACATCTCGGGAGCATGGTAACAATAAACAAGTTTCTGCAAAACTCCGGTGGTGTCAGCGAAACATGCATCTATGAAAACCTGTTCACGAAACGCGTTTCGACAAGACGATACAAACTCCTCCTTCATCAGTTATTATGGTTCACGGTACGCTGTCCACTGTAAACCCCCAAAGCACTCTGTACTTAGTATGGTTGTTCCACAGTTATTAAGAAGCTGCGCATTTGTGCACTGCTGCTTGGATGAAAAAGAAGCACTTCTAGGTGGCTTGAGCCACGACAAAAAACGCAGCCAAAACGAAGGTCTTATTGTAGCGCCTGTCCTGTTTACTTCTTGTCCTTGTTCCTGTTGCGCTATTTTATATGTTTTACGAAAATCTCATCTATACGCATGCCCGGTAAACTCTGCCACCGTCAAGCAGTTGGAAGTGGAGATTAAATCTCTCGAACGTGGAACTCTGTCAGTTGTGACCAGAGTTACTTTTTTATCGAGCATGCACTTTTAGAACATTTCGCAAGTGTGTTTCACCCGAGAATTTAGTGTGCCACCTCGCCAGTGATATTGGCAACAGCGCGACTTCGAAGCAGGTCTAAAACACGCCACCAACCTTGTTCTCTTTACGTACGAGTTTAATCGACACAAGAGCTCATTCCATGACTCTAGGTGCTTCGAGTTCCAACGGGAAAAGCTTTGCATTTCCTTTTCTTTCTCGTTTGCAAAAACAGAACAAAAGGAGCGACTTGTACGCTTCTTTCTTGCTTGCCTGTGATGAATGAAATGGTGCGTGAAATGACCAAATGGGCGAGGCTGACTTGCGCACCACAACAAAGAGTTCCAATGGGCGTAGCAAAGTGGGAGGTCAGAAAAAAATTAAAAAAAGCACAGAACAATAAATGGTGCGGGAGAGACGACGAGAAAAAAAAAAAGACGATATTCCCGCCTTTGGACGACGACGTGCGGGCGAATGTACCGGAGAGTTCGATGCCATTGAAAGACCGAGCGCGTCCGCCGCTACTACTTTCTCTTTTCTGTCGGGGGTTCCCTTTCCGGTTTCTCGCTGCCAGAGTCCCTCTCACCCTCTTTCTCACACCCTGCCTTCGTTGGCGAGCCACACTCGCTTTGCGCTGCGTCGCACTGCTCTTCCGCCGATTCCGCTTTGGTGAATAAATAGATGGGCCTCTGGAACCCTGCAAAAGCACAATTCACCTCGTGAGCACAAGCAGACAAAGGCTTACATGCATAAAGCCACACCGAGGTAAAAGTAAAGTAGACAACAAATATTTGGACAGCGAAAGGGGGGCCTGCCTTTAGATACTGCGACACTGTGCACGCTGTAGGCTAGAAATTTAGTGAATGCAGTCAGACCGCTAACATGGGGTCTTCAACATTTATCGTGCAATAGTGATTACATGACCGCACGCCGGCACGAAGCTCATCTTGATAGTGACGGGCAGGAGCAAGGATTGAACCCAAAAACGATTCCCGGGTTCACAGCACGAGCTTTCACATCGCTGACATTTTGTAACTAAGCTTCTACAGCCAAACCTTTCATCCTCATGAATAAATATGTTAGCCGCATACACAGACATGAGCAAGAAAATACTTAGAATTCCATTAGAGATCCGGCCAAATGTTCTCACCTTTGGAGGCATGAGAAGGGGTGTCGATAAGCTCGCAGGAAGCAAAGCCGACCTCGGGGGACAGCAGGTACTCGTTGAACTGCTCCGGACGTAGGCGGATGTCGTGAAAGTGCTTGTAAGTCGTTTCCTGGGGAAGAAGCGTCGGAAACCGACAACCCCAGTCAGCACCCAAGTTCCCAAATTTACTACACACTACACCTTCTAAATACGTAGAGGAAAAGGAAAATATAGTACAGCCCCTATAAAGCAAAGAGTGTAGCGACGACAAGAATCTAATGCAACACTGAGGTACGTATACTTATAATACAGGTATATGAAATAGGGATACAGCAAAGACACTGATATAATAATGAAGATTCTTCCTGAGATATATTTAACTCAGAGAGATTCTACAGACTACAGAGAGGTTCTACTAAATTCTGAAAATTTGGTTCAGGTTTTCTGGATGCCCGAGAGCATGCCAGCTCACCATTACTTTGCACGAAGTTAACTAGGTCCTCCCGTATCATAAGGAAAGAAATAGAGAGAGAGCTATTCTAACCTACAAACTGAAAAATGTAGAAGATATATTAAACTTATAAATCTTGGAAAAAAAAAATTACTCAGCAGCACCAATGCTCGGAACAAACCATGAGCCGTCTTTGCAACGTTTCTGGTCATTTAAATCACCGTAGTAATCCACTAGAGCAGTGGTTCTCAACCATTGATGTTTCCCAGACCCCTTGTGGATTGGCAGAGACGATGGAAGACCTTGTTTGTGGTGACGGAAAGGGAAAGGTATAGGTTAATTATGATAATGATTTAATATATGGATATAACTAAGGGCTGGTGTGAAGTAGACTTTTCTCACTGACATACACACGAGAAAACTTACTCAAAAATTGGAATGTTTCTTCTCGATTGGATAAAAGACAACTTTTATTCCTAAATTGACTGACGAGGCAGGGCTTCACGAACCCCTAGAATGCCTTCGCGAACCCCAAGGGTCTGCGGACCCCCATCTGAGAACCCCTGTGCTAGAGCAACAACTGCAATGGAATACCACTGGAAACAATAATAACCAAAACAGGCGCACTAACCAAATTTGCAAACAACCACCGTAAAATCCCGAGAGATGCCCCACCCCCAAAAGATAGCCCACCCCTATTTTCTATATTTTTTTTAAACACCAAAAGACAGCCCACCTCAAGTAATAGTAGTGTTGGGATCAATTATGGCCTCGGCATAAATGCGGCGAGTTAGCTATGGCGGGATATAAGCAAGTGTTGCTGGTTGGAAAATACAGTCATCTTTGCTCCGTTGCCCCTCGTCACCATAACAAGCTTGGAAGGGACACGACCTAAAGATAGCAATTTTTTCAACTTTTCTCGATTGTACACGGAAAGTTAGCCCACTCCATAATGCCACCAATGTGCTCTTGATGTTAGGTGGGCTATCTCTTGGGATTTTGTGGCAGAGCCGGTCTCTCTAAATCTAGTACTCAAACACCACGAAACAGTCCTTCCCAACAGACTTGGTTCTAAATTTTTCGTTCGGCAGCGAGAGGTTTGACTTGTTGCTAGCCCTCAATTCGAAAGCCCGTCCTGGGTCACGAAGCAACGGTGGCCATGACAGAAACAAAATGTCGGAGCAATGTAAACTAAAGAGAAGGATCTCCTTACTGTGAGCTTCTTCTTCTTGACGTATGAGTGGAAGGGCTGCGCTTCGAGCAGCATGCGGCCCCCGGGCCGGAGCTGGCGGAACATGCGCTTGAAGAGGCGCCGCACGCCCTCGTCGCCCCAGTTGAGGTGCACCCACTTGGTCAGGCTCAGGCACAGGATTGTGTCAAACTCCTCCCGCTGGGCCTCCAGCAGCACGTCGGACTCCAGGATGTAGTTGCCCTGCGGCACGCCAAAAGGCCCTCAGTCATTTATTTATTTTATTTACGTTTATTTACTAATACTATTATTCCAAACAGGGAATATAGTGAAGCACAAGGTACAAGAGAAACCCCTGGCACTACAATCCACAAAAAAACTCTGAGCTAAAATTGATGGCCGTGTGTCAGCAACTATTCACATAAAAAGCAGCACGGCAATAACGATACGTGAAAAAGACCCAAATCCTTCATCCACTGTCATTGTCGTTCAACCCTTTCATGCTCAAAAGTTTACTCGAAATACCGGAGACCTACAAACCCCACCGTTGTTTTAAAACACACAAAATAACAAAAATCCGGTCTCGGGAAAAAAAAATATTTTTATCCATATACATGTTTCTGCAATGTTACTCGTAAGCAACACTTGGTGTTTTTTTTTTCCGCTACTTTACATCGAACGATTGGAAGCAGTTGAAGGGTAAGTCCAAAGAAAAAAAGTATTTTTAAACAGCCTAATGGGGACAAGCATGTCACAGAACCATTTCTCCGCCAGAAACAAAGCTTTTTAGAGCAATATTTATTGCGCGAGACTGGTTTTAGTTTGCGGCTATTTCGTCCGGTTTAAATCGTGCGTCACAATGTTGGTATTATACGTCACATAGTGGCTGCTATACGTCACGGAGTGACGTAGAACAGCCACTACGCGCGCGTCAAAAGAGCGAGAATTTCAAAAGTGGAGAAGTTGTGACTCCGACTAAATTACGTCCTGTGGCGTAAATATTGCTAGAAAAAATTTGTTTTTCCGCGGAAGATTTGTTTTGTGACATGCTTGTCCCAATTAGGCTGTTCAAAAAGCCTTCTTTCTTTGCAGTTACCCTTTAAGACTCGGGAGAAGGCAAAGGCGCATTTCACATCTTGTGCATTAGAAACAGGTGTAACCGGAATATTAGTATTCATTTTTTTCTCCTCACTGCTTGGAGGCCAGTGGTGCATTCCATCATACCTCGCATCCACTGTTTGCTTTGGTTATTATGGATGAGTGATCCATTCCATTTTCTGTCGCCCTCTTTCGCATTCTTTCTCTTGGGAAACCCGAAGCTCGCTCCTTTAGCTTCAACTAGGAGCAGAACGGTGCCAGCCATTCTGCTCCTAGCTGCCAGCCGTATGACACATTCTGTGTTAAAGCTGATTATACCACTGCAGTAACATTTGGAGGTGTGCTAGTCAGCGGTGCATAGTAAACAAATAATAAAACCACAAAAAACAAGGACAGGTAGAAGAGGGACACAGCGCAGTGCCTGTGTCCCTTTTCTACTTGTCCTTGTGTATTTTTACGCTGTTTTAATTATTTGTTTACTAATTATACCAAGTGGGCAAAATGGGTGACTTGCAAATGGATGCTGTAAATGGAGCCACATTCAATAAAGTGCAAACCTCGGGATCATCTTGAGACCTTGTTATAGTTTGTACACACCTAATGGGGAAGAAGCTCTTCAAAAGTCATTCCCTAGAGGTGAGGCAATGACGCATAATTAAAAAATTGCAGAGTTATGTGTAATGAAAGGGACACTGAAAACAATATTTCTAAGAATAGTGTTTTTCCTTTTCTGAGAGGATACAGTGGAGTAGCCAAGTTTTTGCAGAGTTTGCAGGAGAATATTCACAAAACATGACACGGGAAAACTGGAGGCAACCAGGAAAATAAAGAGACATGTGACGCCTGTCACCATTGGCCCAAAAAAAGACGGGAAACAAATGTGTCATACATGCGACTTCCTTATTTTCAATTACCGCATGTAACCCCTGTCTCGTAAGCTCTTTGTCAACTGTACTGCACTGCAGTAGAGTTGACAAAGCTTTGATTATAAACTAAACTGTGGAATTCATTTCAGGGTTCTTTCAGGTACAATTAGATTACCTTGTTTCCAGGCCAACCCCCCCCCCCCCCCCCTTACCCCCTTTGCTGCTGTTTCCAGCCATCACTATTCTAAGAAATGTAACGAATCACCTATGAGAACACAGATTGTAAGAATTTGTTATAAAAGAAGTTATCAAAATAAGAATTGGTTATCAGAATTCATAATGGGGATACTACAAAACAAGAAAAGAATATAAATTGAATTATATGATGTATTATCAGCATACTTGTATCTACCACGTTTTCTCATCTATAAGGTGCACCCCTAAAAGCACTAGTTTTAAGAAAAAAAGTTGGTATGTAAGTTGCATCTGTTTATATGGCCGGCGCGGCCAAACTGCATTGATAAGTCCACATGTGTGTATTCCGATAGAAATATATGCGCAGGCGCTAGGCAATTTCAACAGCAATATATGCGCAGGCGCTAGGCAATTTAATTATTGAACGGTCAAGTATTGAACATCATTGAAACCCAATGAATCAAACAAGAAATACGGTCCCCGCTTTGAACTTTCTTGAGACCGCCGGAAGAGTAAACCGTCGACAGGCGCTCTGCCATTCCTCCCCTGCCGTAAATGTCAATACGGACTAGGGCTGGCACTATTTACGTACATATTCATTAAAATTTTACACAAGCTTGATCATGCGGACAAAAACCAGGAAGCACAAAATCTGTCCCACCACAACCCACACACTTATCTTTTTTTTCTTTTTCCAAGCGGATTTAGAGTTGAAACAGTGTGCACCTAGGTCGCAGGACATCAACTTCACAGCTAAATTTAGTGGGAAAACTAAATTGGTATATTCGCTCTTTCTCGCGCGAATTGATATGTGGTGGCACCAGCGTGCAAATGACCCCCAACCGCTTCCAGTTCTGAACTAGGTGGCAAGTATTGCAGTATTTGCAAAACCAAATATACAGTCATCTTCTGGAAATGGCCACCTATAGCACAGTCAGACTAATTCACTCTTATGACAAAATAATGATGAGCAAAAAATTAGGAAATATATGCGAACCAGAAGTGTGCCGGGGCTACTCAATAGATGGCGCCACTGAGTTTGTTGCCAAACAAAAAAAGGGTGAATAGGTCATATGACGTCGGGTCACATGACACCAATTTTGGGAAAATTTAATTTGTTCATAGGTCGCACAACATCAATTTCTCTGCCAAATTTAGCTGGGAAATTCGAGGTCATGTGATGTGAATTTTCCAGCTAAGTTTAGAGGGAAACTGGTGGTAAATAGAAATTATACATCATGTGACATCACTTTTTCTGCCAAATTTAGCGGTTAAACCGAACTGGTGCATAAGACCCGTGACATTATTTTGTGTGTGTGTGTAACGCTTGTTTATGACGCTCGTTCATGACAATTTTCTCATAAGAAATGACGCATAAACACATTCTGCATTAAAAATGAAATACATATGAATTGCACCATGTACACGAGGCACCGACGCAACTTTGGCTAAAAGCTGCGACCTATATAAACCGTAAAATACAGTACTCTGAATAACCCACCCTCTACAGCTACTGCTATTTCTTGCAAGAGCCAGACCCCTAGCAAAAGCAACCGGTTATTTTCTTAACGCTTTCACGGCTAAAATACAGCTGCCTGGGTAAGTGCAATTTTTTTTAACTGCTGCACAGTTAAAATTATTATAATAAAAGAGGGCTAAGAGGGTGATTCACAAGATAATAGTTTTCAGGAAACTGCAGACAGAGGTGAACGAGTTCTGCGGAGGAAAAACAAATAGCGGGCCGAAGTCACGCAAAAAGCTTGCACAGCATAATGAAGTATCCACATTGGTTCCTAAACACGCCAATTGAAATCCACGGACCTTGTTCCACAAAAATTGCGTGCAAAGTATCACCGTCCAGCCGGTCAGAATGTTGCCGGAAAGTGAAGATGGAAGGCAAAACCAATATATCCGATTTAACCCCACCGGAAAATTTATGAGCTACACACGCTATAAAAGCTCCCCGGCAGATGGTTCCACAGATGAACGAAGTGGGAAATTGCAGTCCTACAGGTTTCGTCAGAATGAAGAACATGAACGCGCCAATTGAAATCCGCAGACCTTGTTCCACAAAAAAGAAAGCCAACGAAGTTAAGATAGTCGCAAACAGAGGGAATATCGGGGTGTCTCTTTCGAATGCTTGGCTTCCAGCACGTGCTCCCTGCCTCTAGCCATGCCTTGGCTGTACGTGCGCGCTCGAAGCCCAAGAGACGCCGAGGTGGTATCGAAAGTAGCACGCTCGCGCAGGAGGCGGGAAATCTAGAAATCCTTCTCGCCGTTCTTGTCTCGTCGGCGAGTAAAACTGCTTTCGAGGGTCGGTTCGAACATGGAACATAAAAATGACAAAAATGAGGTCCTTGACCTGCCCACACTCGTCCTAGCTCTTTTGTCATTGTCTTTAACTGTCCGTCTGAATCCTTGTGGTCTCCATTGGATTGCTCGCACCCTCACCATATAATGGATTATAGTTTCAGTGCTGCCCATCTGCACATCAAGCACCAAAAAAAAAGATATGTTGGGATTACAATGACGGTGGGGAAGCCACGAAATTAGATCTTGCAGAAACCCGGTGCCTCGCTTTTAATCAAGCTATTGTAATTGACATGATAGTGTCTTTGTCGATATGTTATGGGCCTTTAAACTAACCTTAGAATTAATTTGGAAAAAATCTATCGCTTTATTTAATATTTATACATTTAAAAAAAAAAATTTTTCTTAAATACTGCTTTAAGTTTTTTTTTTATGTATTAAATTATGTGGCAGATTCTCCATAGGTTCTTAAACTTCCGTAACAGTCAGATTGTTGGAACATTCTTATAAGTGCAATCGAAATGCCATACCCATGTTCTTGTTAGAAATCTATAATGTTCTTTACACTAAGATTGACAAGAGTTTTTGCTTCCTAAATTTACGGAATCATTTTTACATATTCAATTTTTTAATTAAATTCATCCTCAGCTGATTGATGTTTAAGATGACTGATATGGTTGTAGATGAAATGAAAAGTTGTATTGGCTGATTTGGCTTATTTGCCAATTCAGCTAGATTAGGCTTGTTTGTAGATACTCTTACCCAGACTTGTAC